TTTCTCGATCTATACAGCCGCAATCGTCTTAATATCCGTTTCAACTTTGAACGACTAATTGGTGTATATAGTAGCAAATATGTAAAAATCCGAGTATTTCGTAAGAAGTATACCCTAGCCTGAAGTAATGCCCGATTAAAGATTACAGAGAGGCATCATTACCAGAATAAACTGACATTGTTTGAAGCTGTTGTGTAATTACCAACACATAAATAGATATCTGAAAAAAAAATTAAAATGTTAAGCTATTGTTTAATACGTCATTACTTTAAATGAATAAAAACCCGGGAGGCGCGGTAGCTCAGCCAATAAGGACTTGGCACGCTAAACTGGAGGGCCCGTGTTGGCCGAGAAATTTCCTCAGAGGTTTTTTCAGCGTGATTTCCCTTGTCAGTGGTGCAGGACAGAGGGCCTGGCAAGAACAGCGTCTATTCTTTCAGATGGGACGAAAAACCGAGTTCACGTGTATACGGTGACGTGCACCTCGACAGATGGAATTCAATTGCTGCCCGGGCAAAATTTCCCCCATAGCACACAAACTGGCGTATGTTCGTCTTTTCATTCATTATCCCGGTAGGTGCAGAAAAATAGGACGCTAAACCCCATTCAATTCATTCATTCATCGAAGCCTATGATCATGATCGACTTTAAGGATTGGTGGCGGTATTCAAATGCATTTCGGATAATTTCAGCCGTCAAAGGTAAATTACGGAAGTCTGTAAATATGGCTGAAATTAAGAAATAATGAAACTGAAACTCACCTGTAAAAAAGTGTAGTAAGAAACATTTTGTTATTAATCAAACGACAATCACAGATAGAATGGCAGCTGTAGTTAGTTGAACTCAGTTAAAGAATGCGGTGATGATATTAAGTAAAAAAAAACATTATTTCTATAAAACATGACTTTTTGATTTAGAGTCAAATCGACTATTGACATGTAAACATATTGACATAGTTTTTACGGCATGTGATGAATTTAATGCGTCAAACCGACTTTATTAATCAGCATGAGATGCGTCAAATCGACTTTATTAATCTCCATGTGACAAATTTAATGCGACAAATCGACTTTATTATGTCGATTTGTTGTAATAACTCAAAAAGTTGACATATTTTAGTTCGATATTTTGCGATATTATCTCAATAAATGGTGATCCAAATACGCTTCCATAATGCGCATGTCCACTGACTATAATCGGCATTTATATTTAAACATGGATTCAAATAGACGGAAATGTTTAATAGCCCTAACAAAGTATTCGATATCAAGTCCTCGGTCAAATCTTTGTTTGCTCTTTAACTTCATCAACGATCATCGGGATTATTCATGCGTGGTCCCCCCTTGTCAGTGGTGTATGACGGAGGGTCTGGCAAGGTATAACGTTTTGTCAAAAAAAAACCGAGGTCCCGAATCCGGATTCGAAAGTGGGAGCTACGGTGGCCCAGTGCATAGGGCGTTTGCTCGGTAATTTCATCAAAGTTCATCGGGATTTTTCTGGCGGGGTTCACCCTTGTCAGTGGTGTAGGACGGATGGTCATGTACCGTGTCCGGATTCGAAATGAAGTGGAAGCTACGGTGGCTCAGTGAGTAGGACATTTGCTCGCTAACTTCATCAAAGTTCATCGGGATTTTTCTGCTGGGATTCACCCTTGTCATTGGTGTAGAACCGAGGGCCTGGCAACCGACAACGTATAGTCGTTTGGATGCGACAAAAAACTGATTTCCAGTGTACACATTGCGTGGCGGGGATGGGGGGGGGTCTAGTGATTTAACACGTACGCGTAAAATCGCAAGGTCTGTCGTTGATTCAACGCTTGAACGTGGCAAAGAGTAGGGTCGTCTGACCGACCTCGTGGGTTTGCCTCGGGTTCCCCCACTGCTAAAGTCCTCTACGCCCAAGCGAATTATTGAAATAAAATTGAACCATGTGTTAGTCCCGGAATGACCTACTTTCTGTCGAGTGGACGTTAAACCCATCTCTCTCTCTCTCTCTCTCTCTCCCTCTTCTCTCTCTCTCTCTGAAAATGCGCTTGGTTGTGCGCCTCTGTAATATATTTGTCATCTGGGGGATGCTTATATGACATAACTAGCAGGATACCCGGCTTCCCTCGGGGGTCATAACTCCAAAACCGGAAGTGGTAGACTAACGCCACCTGACCTATGTTACTCCCCGGTCCGAGCTACCCCTATACCCAAAATTTCAGACTCGGGACAGACCTAGTGTAGCCGCCAACCCCGAACAGACAGACTTCGCTCGGGGGTCATAACTCCGAAAATGGAAGTGGTAGACTAACGCCACCTGGCCTATGTTACTCCTCGGTCCGAGCTATCCCTATACCCCAAATTTCGATAAGTCCTGGAATAAGTGCGTTCAAATTCGAACACATCCAATAAAATATAGATCTGATATCAAAATAACGACCAATAATATTCTTGTTTAAAAACCACATCAAGGGCAACCAATCAAGATAATATTTACCAAACTTGGAACTGTTTTCAAGAAATTATATGGCTTTAACTAGTGTCATTACGGGAAAGTTCCTCGGTGATTTACAGCGTGGTCAGTGGTGAAGGACATAGTCTGACATGGTACTACGTCTAGTCGACGAAAAATGAAATTCCCGCTGTTCGGGCAAAATGTCCCTAAAAGCAGACCTAGTGTAGCCGCCAACCCCGAACAGACCGGCGCTTCGCTCGGGGGTCATAACTCCGAAACCGGAAGTGGTAGACTAACGCCACCTGGCCTATGTAACTCCCCGGTCCGAGTTACCCCTATACCCCAAATTTCAGACTCGGGGCAGACCTAGTGTAGCCGCCAACCCCAAACAGACCGGGGTCGCTCGGGGGTCATAACTCCGAAACCGGAAGTGGTAGACTAACGCCACCTGGCCTATGTTACTCCCCGATCCGAGCTACCCCTATACCCCAAATTTCAGACTCGGGGCAGACCTAGTGTAGCCGCCAACCCCGAACAGACAGACAGACAGACAGACAAACGACAGTCTCAAATATATATATAGATAGATAAATGAAATGAAATGAAATGGGGTTTAACGTCCTACTGTTTTGCTCCGAACTGGGCTAATGAAGACGGGCATACGCCATACAGTGTGCTATGAGGGAAATTTTGCCCTGACAGTGGCACTACGGCCTACTCTTATATCGAATTCCAACTGTCAAGGGATCTTTTACGTGCACGCCAATGTGTACACGGGACCTCGGTTTTTCGTCTCATCCGAATGACTAGACAGCTGTCCTTGTCAGGCCCTCCGATATAGATAGATAAAGGACGTGGGCGTTCCGTTTACGGGGAATCAGGGATTGTCGGGAAATACATTATGACATCACATCGAATCGCCATGAAACTCACCTATGTTGAATTCAATCAATAGACAATATTGCACTGCACATTGTAGGCTAAGCTAGATAGTTGTTAATATCTAACCACACAGAACAGACTACACGAGGGTAAGGACTGATTTTTAAAATAGATACATATACGTCATACAATTTCTGATGATCTGTTGATTACGGTTTACACAGCAAGTATTGAGAGTCCACGTTGTCGGCATTTATAATTTCATTGTTGATGCTTAATCATTTGTTACCATGGCAGTTTCCTTCCACTGCTAAAGTCACACATGCGCAAGCGAATTTATCAAATAAAATTGAACTATATGTTGATCCCAATATGGTCTAGCCTCTCTCTCTCTCTCTCTCTCTCTCTCTCTCTCTCTCTATCTATCTAATAGTAAGAACCCGCACGGGATAGACACGTCACACAGGCATTGGGAATAATACATGTCAAAAGTAATATAAAACCAGGAGAATCGACCCGGGCTATGTAATGATAAAGCGTTTTCTTGAAATGAAAGCACGTCATGGGTGATTGAATTTCTATATATTTATGTATAATATCACGTCTAGTTGGATGTTTTAAACGATATTCATATAGTATATAACATACATGTAGTATGTGGTATTCACTTTAAAGATGGCTTATATAAGAACTAAATCTGCCTAATGCAATTCTTTCTTTTGGCCTCAAATGTTATATAAACTATTATAATTAGACATTATTCACATGCCAAGCTGTCGGATGGTTTAGATTTTCAACGGATTTAAGCACGATTGGCAGTTAATAATATAATTTAAAAATGGATAATCGAGACATTATTTATTATCGTACACTGTTCTTCAAACAGTCACAACTCTGCTTAAAATAAGTGATTTGGCTGAAATTTTCAACATATTCCGTTTCATTATCCTTTTTTTTTAAATTTTTATAGCGAGAACTGCTAGCTCTTTATCCACATTCTTTACAAACATATCTCCTCTCGTGTTGTAATATGTTTACTAGTGTGTTATTTGATTATATAGTTGGACTAAAAACATATTCTAATTAATTTATCTATCAAAAGTTTGCTTTAAATCTCTCTCGTAAAACATTTTAATAACAAGAAACTACCATAAGCCGTAAAAATCGATTTTAAGCAGCCTTATTTATCACGTGACTTGTGAAACAGACGCAATGGCTATGCATTTCACGTTGCCGCCCGCTATCAAAGCACGTAAAAGAGCCCCTCACAGTTGGAATTAATATAAGGGACTTGCGATGGCCCAGTGGTCTAGAATATCACGCTTCGAGCTCTAGCTGGTCGGTCACCTCTGGCTTGCTGTCGTGGTTTCGATCCCTGGTGTGAGCTCACGTGGTTTGGGGATAGGGTCGCCTTCTCAACCTAGTGGGTTTACTTCGGGTACCCCGGTTTCCTCCCACAGGAAAGACATAAGACAACTTGTCTGCGATATCACCCTCGATGGAAGCGACGTTAAACACTTATTGGAGAAGAAGAATGGAATTAGAATTAAGAATATGCCATACCCGGTAGCGCCGGTGCCTGGGCAAAAATTTCGTATGCGCGTCTTCATTAGGGCCCATATATCCCGGTTGATTCATAACAGTATGATGTTAAACCTAATTTAATTTTATACTTTCAGAAAGATGAGTGCTAAAGCAGGCAGTAAAAGTAAAGTAAACAGGTCAGTTAATTCACCCCTCTTTTATTTATATACATGTAGATTAGACTAGGGTTTGTCTACCGCTCAATGCCCCTCAAGCGGATATAGATGGTCTAACGCATCCACTTTAGTCTGTCATAGAGTGATTTTGATCCCAAGTTTGTAGTAAAACAGTATGTCTGTTTAGCCGCGTGGTTTCTGTGCAAGGTCTCTTGACCCCCCCCCCTCCCCGCTATCGAATAACAGATATAAAGATATACTACGCGTTACTCCCGAATTGGTTTGTGTTGTGTGGACGTTAAAGACCCTACGCGTTTGGTTTGTGTTAAATGGACATTAATGTCCCCTAAAGACCCATTTTCGAAAAATACCGAACCTTACTTGTCAATTTGTAATACCGCAATTAATATGACCCTCATCCGGTGATAATTGGTACATATTTGATATCCACTTAAAATGCAGTTAAATTCTGAAAAACAAGATCCGTATTGTATAGTTATTGTGATCCTTGTAAATTGAATACCTAAAATGTCTAGGTGTTGGATAACACTGACAATCCATTCCACCACTGATGTGTCCTAATCCATCCCTGATGGTCTGTGTGTCCCGGTCCACCCCTGATGTTCTGTATGGACCAATCCACCTCTGGTAGTCTATTGTGTCATATTCCACTAATAATGGTCTATTGTGTCATAGTCCATCACTGATGATCTGTGGGCAGACCACCACTTAAGGTCTGTGTGGCCAAGTCCATCAATGTTGTGTCATCGCTTCCAGATTAGAAACCCGATTGGTGGAAAAGATTGAAAATAGTGTGATGGCGTTAAACCTCCATTTTATTTAATATCAGTTTTATTTAATTTAATTCAATTTATACTTTCAGAAAAACGAGTGCTAAAGAAGGTGCTACACGTGAAGTAAAAAGTCCGCCGGACAAAACAGCAACACCTTCCAGGTTAATTTATCCCTCATAGTTCTGGCCTAGACAAGGGTTTTCTTACCCCCGCACCCCCGCAAATGCCCCCCTAGTTGTATGTAGTAAATGATATTACCTTCTGCTTAGCCTCCTGGATTATGTACAGGTTCTCTCGTATGGAAGATTAAACAGCTCTATCCATGTTAGCATTCCTGTCGGTTCTTGCAAAAGATTTACTGTTTAGCGTATCTTTGCTTTAGTGTGTTACGTTTAATTTGATCGGGAGACGTGTTCGTCGACGTCAATTTCAACCGACAACACTGCAAGAATTGGCCGTGGCACTGCAAGAGGAGTGGGTCAGATTGCCCCAAATCGTGATTGGACGGTTGATTAGGAGCATGCCACGACGAATTGCTGAATGTCTGAGGATTGGTGGAGTAATTACTCATTATTATGACTAATCAAAAACGTCCATTTTCACTTTTGACGGCGTATCTCTTTGCGAGTGAAATGGGCCGTCAGATAAGCCGCCCATATGAACTGTTTATGTTCATGTGTAGGCAATTGGCCTGTTATTAACATACACTGGTTACCTCTAATAAAAACAGCAGTGCATTTCCGCAGTTTTGTATTGTTTCTGAATATCCGCTACTTTTTTGAAGAGTATATATAGAAACATAACTCTAAGGATTAGCCATACCGCACACGTGATTTGACATCAGTCCCAGTCGTCGGCCGATTTTTCTTGTTGTATGCTTGCTCGATTCCCCATTATTGTATGGTGACTTGTTGTATGACAAGTTGATTTAGGCTCATGTCGTCATAATATTGCGGTTAGATGAATATAGAGAAAAGATTTTAGAGAAATAGTTCTGGAGAAATGTTTGCTTCGATTGTTATTTAGTTTTTTGGTTTGTGTAAGATAGGATACAGTACTCTTCAAACCCATCCCTAATGGCTATGCATTTCCCGTTGCTGCAAACTAGTAATGTGTTTAGGTAGACCTAGATTTCCTAGCGTAGTTTCCCCGTGTCAGTAGTGTAAGACGGGGGATGTGTGTGTTTGAGGGGGGGGGGGGGGTTGCAAGGAACATTGTCTTGTCGTGCACGTAAAATAACTGTTGATATTTGGAAGTCGAAATAAGAATGTCAATGTAACGCCGGTGTCCTGATAATAGTATGATGATGTTAAACCCCACATTTCATTTAATATCAGTTCTTTTAGTGTAATTCATTTTATACTTTCAGAAAAATGAGTGCTAAACAAGGAGCTACATCTAAAGTTGAAAGTCCACCTGAGAAAACGAGAACACCTTCCGGGTCAGTTAATTTATCCCTCTTAGTGTTGGCATAGACTATGTTTTTGTTTACCCCCCCCCCCCCCAACCCTGCATGTAGGTAGTAAACAGTATGGTCATCTGCTTAGCCTCGTGGGTTATGTGCAGACTCCCTTGCTCCCACCAACACCCCACTCCACCACTAATGGTCTATGTGTCGCAGTCCACCACTTATGGTCTGTGTGGCTCAGTCCACCCTTGATGGTCTGTATGGACCAGTCCAGCAACAATGGTCTACTGTGTCATATTCCACTACATTGAAAAAAAAATGTGTCATATTCCACTACTGGCGGTATATTGTGTCATATTCTTCCACTGATGGTCTGTAGCCCAGTCCACTAGTGACTGTCTATCGTGTCATCGCTTCCAGTCAAGATTAGAAACCCGATTGTGTGGAAAACACTGATAGCAGTATGATGGCGTTAAACTCCTATTTTATTTGATATCAGTTCTTTTAGTAGAAAAATTAGTGCTAAAGAAGGTGATGCAGGTAAAGTAAAAAGTCCCCCGGAGAAAACAGAAACACCTTCCAGGTTTGTTAATTAATCCCTCATAGTTTCGGTATAGGCCAGGATTGTCTTACCCCCCCCCCCCCCCTCCCAACTCTGCTTGAATGTAGTAAAGGGTATGGCCATCTGCTTTGTCTTGTGGATTATGTACTTATGTGCAGGTTCTCTTGTATGTAAGACCAAACCGCTCTTTATTCAGTATTCTTAATTCTTAATTAATTCTAATTTCTTCATTTGTACAATAAAATTAACATTTGTATCTTAAAATCAATATTTGTTTTACAAATCAGACATTTGTCATATCGGATTTGTAAATTGTATTTTATTGTATTTAATTGTATTTTAATATAAAGATAAAGTTTACAGCGATAAACAAATCTCGAACAACAAATTTCTGCTTCGTTGTATGTCGCTGATGAAATGTAATTGTAGGCTAATTTATTGATTTTCTAAAATAAATTTAATCTTTATACGGTATAAAGATAGAATTAAATTAAACAAAAATACATTTTAGAAATCTGATATGACAAATGTTTCATTTGTAAAACAAATATTGATTTTAAGATACAAAATTTAATTATACGGTATAAAAATAGAATTAAATTAAACAAAAATACATTGTACAAATCTGATATGACAAATGTCTCATTTGTAAAACAATATATATTTTAAGATACAAAATTTAATTTTAGTGTACAAATGTCGAAATACGACAACAAATGAAGAAATATGAACTAAGGACTATGAATTAAGAATTAATCATTAAAAACACTGAATAAAGGGCTGTTTCGTCTTCCATATTCTTGCTCCCACCCACCCCTACTGTCACTAAAGACCAATACGCGCAATCGAATGACTGATACAAAAGATAATAGTACGTGTTACTCCTGATATGAACCAGTTTCTTTGGACATTAAAGACCCTTAGGCACAATCGAATAACTGATATAAAGATATACCTCGTGTTAACGTCCCCTACGCACAAGCAGTTTATGTTAAATGGACATTAAATATCCCTAAACACGTTAAAGACCCCTACGCACGTTACAGACCCAACGCACAATCAAATACATTGTGTATTTTTTTTTTTGAATGAGGTCTACTGTTTCCAGACCGGAAAACTCCGAACCTTTACTTGTCAGTTTCTAATACCGCACATTATACGACCCACATCCGGCGATAGTTGGTACAGATATAATGTACACTTGAAATGCATTTAAATTTTGAAAATCAAAATCCGTATTTTAATGCGTAAATTGAATGCTTAAAAATGTTGTACACAATCTGACATCTTGCACAGATAGTGAGCGCGAGATTAAAGGAAAAAACAAGATCCGTATTGTATATATATTGTGTTACTCGTAAATTGAGTGGCTAAAAAATATCGGTATTGGATAACACTGATGGTCTGTGTGACCCAGTCCACCCCTGGTGGTATGTGTGGCCCAGTCCACTCCTGATGGTCTGTATGGTCCAGTCCACTGATGGTCTACTGTGTCATATTCAACTGATCGTCCGTGACTCGGTACACAACTTATTGTGTTTGTGGTCCTGTCCACCAATGATTGTTTATTGTGTCATCGGTTCCAGGGAAGATTAGACAATAAATAATGCTATGTATAAGCTGATTGCATATAATCCGGTGCACTAAGACCAAAGCTGAATTTGAAAGGTAATCAGTTCGCCTGTGTATTGCGTCCTTAATTCAAATCGGAGTGCGTAGGGTAATTTAAAAGTCCATAATTTTCACAACTGGGTCCCCTATTAACGCGGAAACGACCATACGTGTATTTTGCGGTCTGTTCATGGCTCTAGATGGTTTCTAAATAGCAGGCGATGAGATAATCGCTAAAGTTCATGCTAAGACTTTTTTGTAGGCGTGCTTCGCCAGCTTCATAGGGACCCCCCACCCCCGCAAATGCCCCCCCTAGTTGTATGTAGTAAATGATATTACCTTCTGCTTAGCCTCCTGGATTATGTACAGGTTCTCTCGTATGGAAGATTAAACAGCTCTATCCATGTTAGCATTCCTGTCGGTTCTTGCATAAGATTTACTGTTTAGCGTATCTTTGCTTTAGTATGTTACGTTTAATTTGATCGGGAGACGTGTTCGTCGACGTCAATTTCAACCGACAACACTGCAAGAATTGGCCGTGGCACTGCAAGAGGAGTGGGTCAGATTGCCCCAAATCGTGATTGGACGGTTGATTAGGAGCATGTCACGACGAATTGCTGAATGTCTGAGGATTGGTGGAGTAATTACTCATTATTATGACTAATCAAAAACGTCCATTTTCACTTTTGACGGCGTATCTCTTTGCGAGTGAAATGGGCCGTCAGATAAGCCGCCCATATGAACTGTTTATGTTCATGTGTAGGCAATTGGCCTGTTACTAACATACACTGGTTACCTCTAATAAAAACAGCAGTGCATTTCCGCAGTTTTGTATTGTTTCTGAATATCCGCTACTTTTTTGAAGAGTATATATAGAAACATAACTCTAAGGATTAGCCATACCGCGCACGTGATTTGACTTCAGTCCCAGTCGTCGGCCGATTTTTCTTGTTGTATGCTTGCTCGATTCCCCATTATTGTATGGTGACTTGTTGTATGACAAGTTGATTTAGGCTCATGTCGTCATAATATTGCGGTTAGATGAATATAGAGAAAAGATTTTAGAGAAATAGTTCTGGAGAAATGTTTGCTTCGATTGTTATTTAGTTTTTTGGTTTGTGTAAGATAGGATATAGTACTCTTAAAACCCATCCCTAATGGCTATGCATTTCCCGTTGCTGCAAACTAGTAATGTGTTTAGGTAGACCTAGATTTCCTAGCGTAGTTTCTCCGTGTCAGTAGTGTAAGACGGGGGAATGTGTGTGTTTGAGGGGGGGGGGGGGGTTGCAAGGAACATTGTCTTGTCGTGCACGTAAAATAACTGTTGATATTTGGAAGTCGAAATAAGAATGTCAATGTAACGCCGGTGTCCTGATAATAGTATGATGATGTTAAACCCCACATTTCATTTAATATCAGTTCTTTTAGTGTAATTCATTTTATACTTTCAGAAAAATGAGTGCTAAACAAGGAGCTACATCTAAAGTTGAAAGTCCACCTGGGAAAACGAGAACACCTTCCGGGTCAGTTAATTTATCCCTCTTAGCGTTGGCATAGACTATGTTTTTGTTTACCCCCCCCCCCCCCAACCCTGCATGTAGGTAGTAAACAGTATGGTCATCTGCTTAGCCTCGTGGGTTATGTGCAGACTCCCTTGCTCCCACCAACACCCCACTCCACCACTGATGGTCTATGTGTCGCAGTCCACCACTTATGGTCTGTGTGGCTCAGTCCACCCTTGATGGTCTGTATGGACCAGTCCAGCAACAATGGTCTACTGTGTCATATTCCACTACATTGAAAAAAAAATGTGTCATATTCCACTACTGGCGGTATATTGTGTCATATTCTTCCACTGATGGTCTGTAGCCCAGTCCACTAGTGACTGTCTATCGTGTCATCGCTTCCAGTCAAGATTAGAAACCCGATTGTGTGGAAAACACTGATAGCAGTATGATGGCGTTAAACTCCTATTTTATTTGATATCAGTTCTTTAAGTGTCATACATTTTATACTTTTAGTAGAAAAATTAGTGCTAAAGAAGGTGATGCAGGTAAAGTAAAAAGTCCCCCGGAGAAAACAGAAACACCTTCCAGGTTTGTTAATTAATCCCTCATAGTTTCGGTATAGGCCAGGATTGTCTTACCCCCCCCCCCCCAACTCTGCTTGAATGTAGTAAAGGGTATGACCATCTGCTTTGTCTTGTGGATTATGTACTTATGTGCAGGTTCTCTTGTATGGAAGACCAAACCGCTCTTTATTCAGTATTCTTAATTCTTAATTAATTCTAATTTCTTCATTTGTACACTAAAATTAACATTTGTATCTTAAAATCAATATTTGTTTTACAAATCAGACATTTGTCATATCGGATTTGTAAATTGTATTTTATTGTATTTAATTGTATTTTAATATAAAGATAAAGTTTACAGCGATAAACAAATCTCGAACAACAAATTTCTGCTTCGTTGTATGTCGCTGATGAAATGTAATTGTAGGCTAATTTATTGATTTTCTAAAATAAATTTAATCTTTATACGGTATAAAGATAGAATTAAATTAAACAAAAATACATTTTAGAAATCTGATATGACAAATGTTTCATTTGTAAAACAAATATTGATTTTAAGATACAAAATTTAATTATACGGTATAAAAATAGAATTAAATTAAACAAAAATACATTGTACAAATCTGATATGACAAATGTCTCATTTGTAAAACAATATATATTTTAAGATACAAAATTTAATTTTAGTGTACAAATGTCGAAATACGACAACAAATGAAGAAATATGAACTAAGGACTATGAATTAAGAATAAATCATTAAAAACACTGAATAAAGGGCTGTTTCGTCTTCCATATTCTTGCTCCCACCCACCCCTACTGTCACTAAAGACCAATACGCGCAATCGAATGACTGATACAAAAGATAATAGTACGTGTTACTCCTGATATGAACCAGTTTCTTTGGACATTAAAGACCCTTAGGCACAATCGAATAACTGATATAAAGATATACCTCGTGTTAACGTCCCCTACGCACAAGCAGTTTATGTTAAATGGACATTAAATATCCCTAAACACGTTAAAGACCCCTACGCACGTTACAGACCCAACGCACAATCAAATACATTGTGTATTTTTTTTTTTGAATGAGGTCTACTGTTTCCAGACCGGAAAACTCCGAACCTTTACTTGTCAGTTTCTAATACCGCACATTATACGACCCACATCCGGCGATAGTTGGTACAGATATAATGTACACTTGAAATGCATTTAAATTTTGAAAATCAAAATCCGTATTTTAATGCGTAAATTGAATGCTTAAAAATGTTGTACACAATCTGACATCTTGCACAGATAGTGAGCGCGAGATTAAAGGAAAAAACAAGATCCGTATTGTATATATATTGTGTTACTCGTAAATTGAGTGGCTAAAAAATATCGGTATTGGATAACACTGATGGTCTGTGTGACCCAGTCCACCCCTGGTGGTATGTGTGGCCCAGTCCACTCCTGATGGTCTGTATGGTCCAGTCCACTGATGGTCTACTGTGTCATATTCAACTGATCGTCCGTGACTCGGTACACAACTTATTGTGTTTGTGGTCCTGTCCACCAATGATTGTTTATTGTGTCATCGGTTCCAGGGAAGATTAGACAATAAATAATGCTATGTATAAGCTGATTGCATATAATCCGGTGCACTAAGACCAAAGCTGAATTTGAAAGGTAATCAGTTCGCCTGCGTATTGCGTCCTTAATTCAAATCGGAGTGCGTAGGGTAATTTAAAAGTCCATAATTTTCACAACTGGGTCCCCTATTAACGCGGAAACGACCATACGTGTATTTTGCGGTCTGTTCATGGCTCTAGATGGTTTCTAAATAGCAGGCGATGAGATAATCGCTAAAGTTCATGCTAAGACTTTTTTGTAGGCGTGCTTCGCCAGCTTCATAGGGACCCCCCACCCCCGCAAATGCCCCCCTAGTTGTATGTAGTAAATGATATTACCTTCTGCTTAGCCTCCTGGATTATGTTCAGGTTCTCTCGTATGGAAGATTAAACAGCTCTATCCATGTTAGCATTCCTGTCGGTTCTTGCATAAGATTTACTGTTTAGCGTATCTTTGCTTTAGTGTGTTACGTTTAATTTGATCGGGAGACGTGTTCGTCGACGTCAATTTCAACCGACAACACTGCAAGAATTGGCCGTGGCACTGCAAGAGGAGTGGGTCAGATTGCCCCAAATCGTGATTGGACGGTTGATTAGGAGCATGTCACGACGAATTGCTGAATGTCTGAGGATTGGTGGAGTAATTACTCATTATTATGACTAATCAAAAACGTCCATTTTCACTTTTGACGGCGTATCTCTTTGCGAGTGAAATGGGCCGTCAGATAAGCCGCCCATATGAACTGTTTATGTTCATGTGTAGGCAATTGGCCTGTTATTAACATACACTGGTTACCTCTAATAAAAACAGCAGTGCATTTCCGCAGTTTTGTATTGTTTCTGAATATCCGCTACTTTTTTGAAGAGTATATATAGAAACATAACTCTAAGGATTAGCCATACCGCGCACGTGATTTGACTTCAGTCCCAGTCGTCGGCCGATTTTTCTTGTTGTATGCTTGCTCGATTCCCCATTATTGTATGGTGACTTGTTGTATGACAAGTTGATTTAGGGGCTCATGTCGTCATAATATTGCGGTTAGATGAATATAGAGAAAAGATTTTAGAGAAATAGTTCTGGAGAAATGTTTGCTTCGATTGTTATTTAGTTTTTTGGTTTGTGTAAGATAGGATACAGTACTCTTCAAACCCATCCCTAATGGCTATGCATTTCCCGTTGCTGCAAACTAGTAATGTGTTTAGGTAGACCTAGATTTCCTAGCGTAGTTTCCCCGTGTCAGTAGTGTAAGACGGGGGATGTGTGTGTTTGAGGGGGGGGGGGGGTTGCAAGGAACATTGTCTTGTCGTGCACGTAAAATAACTGTTGATATTTGGAAGTCGAAATAAGAATGTCAATGTAACGCCGGTGTCCTGATAATAGTATGATGATGTTAAACCCCACATTTCATTTAATATCAGTTCTTTTAGTGTAATTCATTTTATACTTTCAGAAAAATGAGTGCTAAACAAGGAGCTACATCTAAAGTTGAAAGTCCACCTGAGAAAACGAGAACACCTTCCGGGTCAGTTAATTTATCCCTCTTAGTGTTGGCATAGACTATGTTTTTGTTTACCCCCCCCCCCCCAACCCTGCATGTAGGTAGTAAACAGTATGGTCATCTGCTTAGCCTCGTGGGTTATGTGCAGACTCCCTTGCTCCCACCAACACCCCACTCCACCACTGATGGTCTATGTGTCGCAGTCCACCACTTATGGTCTGTGTGGCTCAGTCCACCCTTGATGGTCTGTATGGACCAGTCCAGCAACAATGGTCTACTGTGTCATATTCCACTACATTGAAAAAAAAATGTGTCATATTCCACTACTGGCGGTATATTGTGTCATATTCTTCCACTGATGGTCTGTAGCCCAGTCCACTAGTGACTGTCTATCGTGTCATCGCTTCCAGTCAAGATTAGAAACCCGATTGTGTGGAAAACACTGATAGCAGTATGATGGCGTTAAACTCCTATTTTATTTGATATCAGTTCTTTTAGTAGAAAAATTAGTGCTAAAGAAGGTGATGCAGGTAAAGTAAAAAGTCCCCCGGAGAAAACAGAAACACCTTCCAGGTTTGTTAATTAATCCCTCATAGTTTCGGTATAGGCCAGGATTGTCTTACCCCCCCCCCCCCCCCACCCAACTCTGCTTGAATGTAGTAAAGGGTATGGCCATCTGCTTTGTCTTGTGGATTATGTACTTATGTGCAGGTTCTCTTGTATGGAAGACCAAACCGCTCTTTATTCAGTATTCTTAATTCTTAATTAATTCTAATTTCTTCATTTGTACACTAAAATTAACATTTGTATCTTAAAATCAATATTTGTTTTACAAATCAGACATTTGTCATATCGGATTTGTAAATTGTATTTTATTGTATTTAATTGTATTTTAATATACAGATAAAGTTTACAGCGATAAACAAATCTCGAACAACAAATTTCTGCTTCGTTGTATGTCGCTGATGAAATGTAATTGTAGGCTAATTTATTGATTTTCTAAAATAAATTTAATCTTTATACGGTATAAAGATAGAATTAAATTAAACAAAAATACATTTTAGAAATCTGATATGACAAATGTTTCATTTGTAAAACAAATATTGATTTTAAGATACAAAATTTAATTATACGGTATAAAAATAGAATTAAATTAAACAAAAATACATTGTACAAATCTGATATGACAAATGTCTCATTTGTAAAACAATATATATTTTAAGATACAAAATTTAATTTAAGTGTACAAATGTCGAAATACGACAACAAATGAAGAAATATGAACTAAGGACTATGAATTAAGAATTAATCATTAAAAACACTGAATGAAGGGCTGTTTCGTCTTCCATATTCTTGCTCCCACCCACCCCTACTGTCACTAAAGACCAATACGCGCAATCGAATGACTGATACAAAAGATAATAGTACGTGTTACTCCTGATATGAACCAGTTTCTTTGGACATTAAAGACCCTTAGGCACAATCGAATAACTGATATAAAGATATACCTCGTGTTAACGTCCCCTACGCACAAGCAGTTTATGTTAAATGGACATTAAATATCCCTAAACACGTTAAAGACCCCTACGCACGTTACAGACCCAACGCACAATCAAATACATTGTGTATTTTTTTTTTTTGAATGAGGTCTACTGTTTCCAGACCGGAAAACTCCGAACCTTTACTTGTCAGTTTCTAATACCGCACATTATACGACCCACATCCGGCGATAGTTGGTACAGATATAATGTACACTTGAAATGCATTTAAATTTTGAAAATCAAAATCCGTATTTTAATGCGTAAATTGAATGCTTAAAAATGTTGTACACAATCTGACATCTTGCACAGATAGTGAGCGCGAGATTAAAGGAAAAAACAAGATCCGTATTGTATATATATTGTGTTACTCGTAAATTGAGTGGCTAAAAAATATCGGTATTGGATAACACTGATGGTCTGTGTGACCCAGTCCACCCCTGGTGGTATGTGTGGCCCAGTCCACTCCTGATGGTCTGTATGGTCCAGTCCACTGATGGTCTACTGTGTCATATTCAACTGATCGTCCGTGACGCGGTACACAACTTATTGTGTTTGTGGTCCTGTCCACCAATGATTGTTTATTGTGTCATCGGTTCCAGGGAAGATTAGACAATAAATAATGCTATGTATAAGCTGATTGCATATAATCCGGTGCACTAAGACCAAAGCTGAATTTGAAAGGTAATCAGTTCGCCTGCGTATTGCGTCCTTAATTCAAATCGGAGTGCGTAGGGTAATTTAAAAGTCCATAATTTTCACAACTGGGTCCCCTATTAACGCGGAAACGACCATACGTGTATTTTGCGGTCTGTTCATGGCTCTAGATGGTTTCTAAATAGCAGGCGATGAGATAATCGCTAAAGTTCATGCTAAGACTTTTTTGTAGGCGTGCTTCGCCAGCTTCATAGGGACCCCCCCACCCCCGCAAATGCCCCCCTAGTTGTATGTAGTAAATGATATTACCTTCTGCTTAGCCTCCTGGATTATGTACAGGTTCTCTCGTATGGAAGATTAAACAGCTCTATCCATGATAGCATTCCTGTCGGTTCTTGCATAAGATTTACTGTTTAGCGTATCTTTGCTTTAGTGTGTTACGTTTAATTTGATCGGGAGACGTGTTCGTCGACGTCAATTTCAACCGACAACACTGCAAGAATTGGCCGTGGCACTGCAAGAGGAGTGGGTCAGATTGCCCCAAATCGTGATTGGACGGTTGATTAGGAGCATGTCACGACGAATTGCTGAATGTCTGAGGATTGGTGGAGTAATTACTCATTATTATGACTAATCAAAAACGTCCATTTTCACTTTTGACGGCGTATCTCTTTGCGAGTGAAATGGGCCGTCAGATAAGCCGCCCATATGAACTGTTTATGTTCATGTGTAGGCAATTGGCCTGTTATTAACATACACTGGTTACCTCTATTAAAAACAGCAGAGCATTTCCGCAGTTTTGTATTGTTTCTGAATATCCGCTACTTTTTTGAAGAGTATATATAGAAACATAACTCTAAGGATTAGCCATACCGCGCACGTGATTTGACTTCAGTCCCAGTCGTCGGCCGATTTTTCTTGTTGTATGCTTGCTCGATTCCCCATTATTGTATGGTGACTTGTTGTATGACAAGTTGATTTAGGCTCATGTCGTCATAATATTGCGGTTAGATGAATATAGAGAAAAGATTTTAGAGAAATAGTTCTGGAGAAATGTTTGCTTCGATTGTTATTTAGTTTTTTGGTTTGTGTAAGATAGGATACAGTACTCTTAAAACCCATCCCTAATGGCTATGCATTTCCCGTTGCTGCAAACTAGTAATGTGTTTAGGTAGACCTAGATTTCCTAGCGTAGTTTCCCCGTGTCAGTAGTGTAAGACGGGGGAATGTGTGTGTTTGAGGGGGGGGGGGGGTTGCAAGGAACATTGTCTTGTCGTGCACGTAAAATAACTGTTGATATTTGGAAGTCGAAATAAGAATGTCAATGTAACGCCGGTGTCCTGATAATAGTATGATGATGTTAAACCCCACATTTCATTTAATATCAGTTCTTTTAGTGTAATTCATTTTATACTTTCAGAAAAATGAGTGCTAAACAAGGAGCTACATCTAAAGTTGAAAGTCCACCTGAGAAAACGAGAACACCTTCCGGGTCAGTTAATTTATCCCTCTTAGTGTTGGCATAGACTATGTTTTTGTTTACCCCCCCCCCCCCCAACCCTGCATGTAGGTAGTAAACAGTATGGTCATCTGCTTAGCCTCGTGGGTTATGTGCAGACTCCCTTGCTCCCACCAACACCCCACTCCACCACTGATGGTCTATGTGTCGCAGTCCACCACTTATGGTCTGTGTGGCTCAGTCCACCCTTGATGGTCTGTATGGACCAGTCCAGCAACAATGGTCTACTGTGTCATATTCCACTACATTGAAAAAAAAATGTGTCATATTCCACTACTGGCGGTATATTGTGTCATATTCTTCCACTGATGGTCTGTAGCCCAGTCCACTAGTGACTGTCTATCGTGTCATCGCTTCCAGTCAAGATTAGAAACCCGATTGTGTGGAAAACACTGATAGCAGTATGATGGCGTTAAACTCCTATTTTATTTGATATCAGTTCTTTTAGTAGAAAAATTAGTGCTAAAGAAGGTGATGCAGGTAAAGTAAAAAGTCCCCCGGAGAAAACAGAAACACCTTCCAGGTTTGTTAATTAATCCCTCATAGTTTCGGTATAGGCCAGGATTGTCTTACCCCCCCCCCCCCCCCCACCCAACTCTGCTTGAATGTAGTAAAGGGTATGGCCATCTGCTTTGTCTTGTGGATTATGTACTTATGTGCAGGTTCTCTTGTATGGAAGATCAAACCGCTCTTTATTCAGTATTCTTAATTCTTAATTAATTCTAATTTCTTCATTTGTACACTAAAATTAACATTTGTATCTTAAAATCAATATTTGTTTTACAAATCAGACATTTGTCATATCGGATTTGTAAATTGTATTTTATTGTATTTAATTGTATTTTAATATAAAGATAAAGTTTACAGCGATAAACAAATCTCGAACAACAAATTTCTGCTTCGTTGTATGTCGCTGATGAAATGTAATTGTAGGCTAATTTATTGATTTTCTAAAATAAATTTAATCTTTATACGGTATAAAGATAGAATTAAATTAAACAAAAATACATTTTAGAAATCTGATATGACAAATGTTTCATTTGTAAAACAAATATTGATTTTAAGATACAAAATTTAATTATACGGTATAAAAATAGAATTAAATTAAACAAAAATACATTGTACAAATCTGATATGACAAATGTCTCATTTGTAAAACAATATATATTTTAAGATACAAAATTTAATTTAAGTGTACAAATGTCGAAATACGACAACAAATGAAGAAATATGAACTAAGGACTATGAATTAAGAATTAATCATTAAAAACACTGAATGAAGGGCTGTTTCGTCTTCCATATTCTTGCTCCCACACACCCCTACTGTCACTAAAGACCAATACGCGCAATCGAATGACTGATACAAAAGATAATAGTACGTGTTACTCCTGATATGAACCAGTTTCTTTGGACATTAAAGACCCTTAGGCACAATCGAATAACTGATATAAAGATATACCTCGTGTTAACGTCCCCTACGCACAAGCAGTTTATGTTAAATGGACATTAAATATCCCTAAACACGTTAAAGACCCCTACGCACGTTACAGACCCAACGCACAATCAAATACATTGTGTATTTTTTTTTTTTGAATGAGGTCTACTGTTTCCAGACCGGAAAACTCCGAACCTTTACTTGTCAGTTTCTAATACCGCACATTATACGACCCACATCCGGCGATAGTTGGTACAGATATAATGTACACTTGAAATGCATTTAAATTTTGAAAATCAAAATCCGTATTTTAATGCGTAAATTGAATGCTTAAAAATGTTGTACACAATCTGACATCTTGCACAGATAGTGAGCGCGAGATTAAAGGAAAAAACAAGATCCGTATTGTATATATATTGTGTTACTCGTAAATTGAGTGGCTAAAAAATATCGGTATTGGATAACACTGATGGTCTGTGTGACCCAGTCCACCCCTGGTGGTATGTGTGGCCCAGTCCACTCCTGATGGTCTGTATGGTCCAGTCCACTGATGGTCTACTGTGTCATATTCAACTGATCGTCCGTGACGCGGTACACAACTTATTGTGTTTGTGGTCCTGTCCACCAATGATTGTTTATTGTGTCATCGGTTCCAGGGAAGATTAGACAATAAATAATGCTATGTATAAGCTGATTGCATATAATCCGGTGCACTAAGACCAAAGCTGAATTTGAAAGGTAATCAGTTCGCCTGCGTATTGCGTCCTTAATTCAAATCGGAGTGCGTAGGGTAATTTAAAAGTCCATAATTTTCACAACTGGGTCCCCTATCAACGCGGAAACGACCATACGTGTATTTTGCGGTCTGTTCATGGCTCTAGATGGTTTCTAAATAGCAGGCGATGAGATAATCGCTAAAGTTCATGCTAAGACTTTTTTGTAGGCGTGCTTCGCCAGCTTCATAGGGACCTAATCCAACTAAAATGTATGGCTAATATCTGAAACTTTCACTCGGGGATTACAAGAGTTAAAGTTTCAAATGAAACTAGTAGTAATCTTCTCACCCAAGTAATGATCCATCATAGTTGAAAGTAAAGTCATTACTAAAGGCACAAAGTCAACACGAAAAATAACCTGCCTTTTTTCCTGGCCGGAAGTAGGTCTGCAGTGTGAGCACATGTAGGATGAAATCAATGTTTGCATGTATTAAACTGAATGCAGCTCTGATCCCTTGTACTGTTTTAATTTCTGCATGTAGAGACCCCATTTTATTTAATATCAGTTTTTTTAGTGCCATCCATTTTATACTTTCAGAAAAGTGAGTGCTAAAGAAGGTGCTACATGTAAAGTAAAAAGTCCTCCGGAGAAAACAGGAACACCTTCCAGGTTAGTTATTATCCCTCATAGTTTTCTTACCACTTGCCCCCATCCCATCTCCTCCACTCCCATCCCAATGCCTATCTGCTTTGTATGTAGTAAAGAATATGACCATCTGCTTAGCCTCGTGGATTATGAACAGGTTCTAGTGCCCCCCCCCCCCACTCACATTGAAGACCAATACGTACAATACAATAACTGATATAATGATAATACTAAAGACTCTCTACTTACTATCGAATAACTGATATGAAGATATACTACGTGTTACTACTATGTCGATCAGTTTGTGTTTGGTGAACGTTAAAGACTTCTATGCGCAATTTATCTCTTTAATATTGTGTTTAGGTAGACCTAGATTTTCTAGCGTAGTTTTCCCTTGTCAGTGGTGTAAGACTGGGAGGGAGGGGGGCTTGCTTGCAATAAACATTGTCTTGTGCACGTAAAATAATTCTTGACAGTTGGAGGTTGAAATAAGAATGTAACGCCGTATGCGCGTCTTCATTATATGACTAGATTGGTACAAAACAAGGATATCACTGTGATGGCGTTACGTCAATTTTCTCATAATATCAGGTTTATTTAGTGCCAGCCATTTTATACTTTCAGAAAAATGAGTGCTAAAGAAGGTGCTACATGTAAAGTAAAAAGTCCGCCGGAGAAAACAGCAACACCTTCCAGGTTAGTTAATAGTATGACTATCTGCTTAGCCTCGTGGATTATGTGCAGGTTCTCCCATCCAACCCCTTATCCCATTAAAGAGAGAGAGAGAGAGAGAGAGAGATGTGGGGGGGGTGAGAGAGACTCGAAGCAAACTAGGTCATTTCGAGGAGAGGAGAGAGGGGGAGACAGCGAGGGGGGTGGGGATAACGTCCACTCGACCCAAACTAGGTCATCTTGGGACTAACATATGGTTCAAATATATTTCAATAATTCGTTTGCGAGGTTGGACAGGAGATCCTACTCCTTGTCACGTACACGCGGGAAATCGAAACCAACGCGCACGCGATAACCATTCTACCACCCAAATGTGGAAATTTCGGTCTAGGCCATTTCGGTCTAGGCCATTTCGGCCTAGGACATTGGCGTGCACGTAAAAGATCCCTCGACAATTGGAATTCGATATAAGAGTAGGCCATGCCCGTCTTCATTTGCCCAGTTCGGAGCAGAACAGTAGGACGCTAAACCCATTTCATTTCATTTCCTTGGACTTCCACCAGTCACCCAACCCCATGTCTAGTGGGAATACTGAGAAATAATCAAATAAAGGTAGCATTAAAGCTGTTTGTTGTTACTCTCCTTCGGTGGCTTCTATTGAGGGGATTCATGGGTGATATAAGTATATGATAGCTGGTGTTCTTGAAGGAGTAAATTAGACTGGCTCGTGTACGAAACTTATTATTATTTATCAAAATTGTGGTTCATTTTCCAGCATGAAGCTGTCTGAGTATTTACCTAGACTGGGAAAAGAAACTCTTCAGGAGTTTGTTGAACGTTATCTGGGTGTGACTTATAAAGGTCGTATGAACCAGACTATTGATCATCTCCAACGTCACTTAGAGAAGCTGCCAGATTATTCCATAGCCGGTACTTTCAGGGTAAGTTATTTTATACATAATATTTTGAGGATATGTTATTCACAGAAAATATTTTCAGGGCAAGTTATTCAGCTGCCATCTTATTCCATAGCCGGTATTGTCAAGGTAAGTTGTTTTATAGATAATATTGTAATGATACGTTATTCTATAGAACATATTTTCAGGGCAATTTATTAAATAGACCGTATTGTAGTGAAATGTGTTACATGGACATTATTTTCAGGGTAAGTTATTTTATAGAACATATATTGTCAGGGTAAATTATTTCATACTGTCAGGTGAGTTATTCCACCGAGCATATTGTCAGGCTAAGTTATTCCAAAGACCATAATGTCAGGGTAAGTTATTCCATGGACCATATTGTCAGGGTAAGTTATTCCAAAGACCATAATGTCAGGGTAAGTTATTCCATGGACCATATTTCCAGGGTAAGTTGTCCCATTGACCTTATTTTCAGGTGTAAGCTGTTAGGTAGTTGTCACAAATTAGGTCACACAAACCAAGTCGGTTCGGGACTAAGACATAGCACATTTTTATTTCTATAATTCTCTCGTGCGTAGGGGTCTTTTGCAAGACTTGTATTAGGAGATTTGTATTTAGTTGTATGTATCTGGTGAAATGTAAATGTAAGCTTTATATTAAACTGCAAATAAATTAAACAAAAATACAATTTACAAATCTGATATGACAAATGTCTGATTTGTAAAACAAATATTGATTTCAAGATACAAATGTTAATTTTAGTGTACAAATGTCGCAATACGATACCAAATGAAGAAATAACAATTAAGGACTATGAATTAAGAACATTGAATAAAGAGCTGTTTGGTCTTCCATAGACAAAACACCTACTCAATGCCACCTGCCTGAAAACTAACAATTTTAACTTATAAACATTATGCATATAAAATGACGACTATGATCTGTTAGTGTCATACATCATTTATAAAAGTTATTAGTATCTTAGTCAACGATATCAATCTTACAGTGATACAATTACTTGTTGATATAATTACTTAAAGATAAATTACTTGTTTCAGACTGGATCTATGGCGAAATGTACCGCTGTAAAAGCAACAGCAGATATTGATCTTCTGGTATTCTTCGATGGATACCGTAACATGCAAGAATTCATTCAAGATAAAGAAAGCGACGATGGAATATTACAAGCCATTGAACGCCATCTCACAACGGATCCTGTATATTCTAAAAATTGGGAATGCACAAAGATTGCTCGCGGTTATCACGTGACCGTGAAGATGGTTGAATATTCAATACTCGTAGATATTTTACCGGCTAGACAATATCGAATGGCAATGCGTGATGCAAGTAAGATATCTTGGTTTGTAATGGGGTGGCATCCTTACTTACTACTAAAACTGGGTACATCGCAATGTTGTTACTTATGAATATATAATAATTACAATCTGAAAACGCAGGTGAGGTGGGGTTGTTGATGGAGTTGGAGGGGAGTAGGGAACATCTCCAGTGCTCCTAAGCTAGACAAAAATATTTTGTTTGACAGATTTAAATATGTTTTTGTGTATTATTTAGTACACTTGTCTGTTTGTTTTTTGGAGGGTGGATGGTGGGGGGATGGGGGGGGGGGGGGGCAGGGGCTACTCTCCGGGTGCGTCCATCCTTATTTAATAACATCCAATGAATTTATTGTTGTAGGGTCCATTTATGTCCCCGACTCATTTCAATATACCCTTGTATTTGTAAAGTCGTTTTTTTTTTTGGGGGGGGGGATGCAATAATGACCACCAGGAGAATTATTTATATAAATAAACGCTAGTCGTCATGTACTGTCTAACTCTAACGGGATGCCAATTTTTTAATATGAAGTTTCTTAGGTATGCACAGAGCTTGCAACAAAAAGGCCTTTTTCACCCATTTTTGACCCACTATAACTTGTGCAGAATTATCATTCCTTTAGGCGTCACTTGCACTGGTGTTTTTGACCCACTATAACTTGTGCAGAATTATCATTCCTTTAGGCGTCACTTGCACTGGTTTTTATAGGCCCATATTTTCATGTGGATGTATTATACTGTCGTCTTTTCGTTCGTCCAAATTTTGTTTGTGAACACTCTGCAGGTCAGAATTTTGATTCAATGTTGACGAAACTTAAAATATAGGTTTATATTCCAAGGATTTTGGTTCCATTCGATATCGGCGTGTATTGTGGCCCATGATTTATAGAAAAATCACGTTTTTAGTTTGTGGACCCTTTAGTGTTCATACAATTTTGTATGTTTATAGCCCAAAGGCACCGGTTGCTTTCGATATTGGTGCATATTGGATCGTAACCTCATGGATTGTTGCCCCTGATTGTACGAAAATTCACGTTTTTTGATTGTGGACCCTCTAGTGATCACAATTTTATCTAATTTTAAAAATCGTTCACATATATCACCGCTACACAATTATGTATCAGATAGTAACTTCGTGGATTATGGTTTCTGATTGCACGAAAATTACGTAATAAACTTGTGAACACTCTAGAGGTCACAATTTTTATCAGATGTTGACGAAACTTAAAATATATGTTTATATCCCAAAGATCTCGGTTCCTTATGATATTGACGCATGTCGGGCCGTAACATCCTGAATTATGGCCGCTTATTGTATGCTTTTTTAGCTTGTTCTCTGTCCATCTCTTGCAAAATGTGGACGTATCTGGCATGGCAACCACGTATTTTTATATGTTGCGTTCTATTCTTACAGATTGGGTAACACAGTGGCGACCATTTCCGCAGTTGGGTATACATATTGCATTCTATTTCAGTTTATAATCAAATGAAGCGAGAGCCGGGGTCCGTAAGAAACCACTATTCGGTATGTCTTGCACCGATACAATGTGATTTCATGAAAAACCAACCAAGACAAGTGCATCACTTAGTTAAACTTCTGAAGTATTGGAAATCGGTAATTACACTGAAATAATAATAGAAAATCTGATTAATACCAGATATTAATTACGTTGCGTTTTATGTTTTTATACACCATAATTATCTTAAATATTGTCTTTGGAAACGATCTTCAGGTCAAATGATTGCACTGGTCAATCAGGTTGTCCGTCTTGGTATACGTGGCTTTGTTGTTTTGTGAATTATGTCTGGTTGACATACATAGAATTATCACTAACAGAACACGGTTATGATGGAAAGTAGGTGCATCGAACAATAGAGAATTCCACAAAGTTGATGATGTAGAATGAAAGGATTTTGATCCAGATGTTTTTAGATTTGTTTTCACCACATTCAACTAGTGTTTACTAGCTACGTGAAGACTTGCATAAAATGTATTTCACAAATAACTATTACTTTCTGTTTTTGTACGGCGTACGTTTCTGCAGTAGCGGATCTAGAAGCTGGAGGTGGGGGTTCAAACCAAAGACGCCATCAACAATCCCACCCACAATGAATGTCACAAAATACCTAATAAAATGCTTGAAATAACATAGATCGTATTTCATATATATTTGTTTTCCTATCGCTAGGGAATTCAAGTTTAATTCAAGTTGGCATAAAGTTCATGCCAGTTCTCTCTTTTAAATGTTTTCCAGGAAAATGAGATCAAACTGAAGTCGTATTTTTGTGAATTATTAGCGGTTCATATCTTTAAAACAAAGCTTGACAAAAATGTTCGGTTTGATCTGAAAGAAGGTTTTGTCCTGGCTCTGACTCAACTTCAAAATTACAATTCATTGGAAATCACATTTTCTGATTATTATAAACCAGATGTTTGGTACGTATTTTTAACATATCTTCGTATTTCGTCATTTTCTTAACATGGCTAAAGGTTATTTTTATACCAACCGTTACTAACGTATGGTATTTTATTTTATGTCAGAAGTTTACCCAAGGTAGCACGGTTAGAGTCGTAACCGGGAACAATGTAACCAAGAAACCTTAAGTGGTAGTGCAACGCCCCAAGGCCTATGTCATTCCCCGGTTCACATGCTCGTATATTCCTAATTTTCAGTCACAGGCCAACCCTGGCATACAATTCTATTTCAATAATTGGCTTGTGCGTAAAGGTCTTTCGCTGTGTGTGTGTGTGGGGGGGGTCGAGAATCAGTAGAAAACCCACAAGTTTAGACAGGCAACCATACTCCTTCTCACGCAAAAGTGTGGGATCAGAACCACATCACATGACTAAATGACAGATCATATCACCTAAAGCATACGTGACAAGACAATTCGGAAACCGAGTCAAACCGTGACACTGTATTTTGAGTTCATTTTTTTGTATTTTTTAGGAAGGATGAGCGCCCTTGCAAACCATACGTCATGGACCCTGCAAACCCCTTTATGAATACTTGCAACCAATACCTGGATAGCAGTGATATGGACAGAATGGTGACATGCGCTACAAATACCATATCAGCTATCTCAAACCGGGATTGTTAATGAACACATTATACCCTTAACATCGATAGTATGCATATTTCGTGAATACCCCTGATTCGTACATCAAGTGTGGCCAACTATTGTCTCATTTGTGACCTCTGGGGCCCATCCACGGGGGAGACAAATAGTCAAATTATTCACCCTTGATACTTCTGTTATTTTTATCGACCAATCGAGTGGGCGAAGGCAAGTAACTCGCATTGTATTGCAACTAAGATTATTGTGGTATGTAAATTGTTTTTTGATTAGTTCGTAGAATTAACCTACGATCAAGGGCAGATAATTTGAATTTGTCCCCCCCCCCTCCAGCCTCAAAAACAAGAAGGTGAACAACAAGAACTGTAACCGGAGTAGCGTCTCGCATAGTTCCTGGTCCAAACATAAAAGTCCATGAACGTTTTGTAAAGTTAGTTGACCTTTAAAGGGCTTGCAAGGTTTTGTAAAACTAGATGACTTTTAAAGGGTTTGCAAATTTTTGTAAAACTGTATGACCTTTAAAGGGTCCGCAAAGTTTTGTAAAACTACATGACCTGTAAAGGGTCTGCAATGTAAAACTAGATAACCTTTAAAGGGTCTGCAAGGTTTTGTACAAATGGACGATCTTTAAAGGGTCTTCAAGATTTTGTAAAACTAGATGACATTTAAACGGTTCTAGAAGTTTTTTTAAAAATGGGCGACCGTTATGAGTTTATCGAGGTTTTGGTATAATTTCATTATTGCCGCGAAAATAACAATACCTATGTATATGGCCTTACTCTGTGAATTTGTTTTCAAAATACCTCTTTCAAAATAGATAATCAAGCCAAGTTTTAAGATTGAGGCCCCATCTGCTACCCGTATATAACACAAACACCCGACCGAGATAGTAAATTGACCTCGATTACCCAGGCGCTGCGATTTTGAGTTGGCCTTCAGCGGGAATAAGCATGAATGTCAGCTTTGTCCCCATAACAATATGTCGCAATGTGATCTCTTTAAATTACAATTAAATGAATATCTCATGGTAATTGTATATCAAAGGTCGTGATTCATATTAATATATATTATGTTAAATGAGTGTATTATGAATACGTGTATTATATATGTTAAATAATAAAGAGACTATTTTTTTATCTACATTATATTTTCTATATATTAAAGAAATCAGTCCGAGTACCTAAAAGTATTTTGCTACAATTTCGTTTTGAATTCCAATAAATATAAATATAGATATGTCAATCTGATTAAAACATGGATCCTATTTCGTTTCGTTTTTATACTTCAAAATTTCGTTTTACTTGTCTTTACTACAATATGATCGGGAAGAGTTGTTATATAACAGGCGTTCTACTTGATGTGAGGAATTAGCCAATGAAACGGTCTGTTACGGCGAGTTCTTGGGCTTTGTATGCACGGAATTGTGTGTAAACCACTAGAAACGACAACGCTGATTGATTAATCAATGTCTGACGTCATAAGTCAAAAGCCGCTCGTTTGACCCCTGACGTGAACTCCCACTATAACTTGTCAGATTTTCATGTAGTGTAGGGCATCGAAAGTATAAAAAACGAAACGAAATATAGATCTGTATTTTCATCAGATTGTAGATATGTAATCGCCAGATTATTGTTTCTCTTATTTTTATGGTTTGTTGAACATACTTTTCTTTATACTGAAGACAATTAGTTCGCGTACCTACAATTTCATTTTGATTTCTTAATGGGTTGTTGAGCAGTGTTTATGAATAGTTTACAGTTGATATTCAATTAAATTTTCTAGATATTAATGCAAAGCGGTTCATATAGATAAAAAAAAAATAACTTTACTGCACTTTCGTTTTGAATTCTATGAAATACAAATTAGTAGCTCCAACTAGGAGTGGGTCGATTAACCGCTATGTATGTCGACTGAATTGTTTAACGTTTTCTCCGTGAACTTACATTTAACGAAAAGTCATTTATAGCTATACAATAACTTTATTGAACGCAACCAGCTGCGCCGTCTTTCTTTTCTAACATCGGGTATATTTAGTGTTTCCAACAATCGATGCATAGTTACGTCAACCCGACTATGTTGCGCGAAAATATTAAAGATACATTGTCATGAAAGTATTATCGGGTTTTTATTGACAATAAAAGTATGGCATATTTGGTATATGGAAAGTATAGACGCGCAATCTTACTAGAAAATTACGGGATTACCCGAAAAGCACCCATGGGGCAACCACTGGGCAAAAATGATTGGCACGCCGACGGCTTGTTCGTGTTAGGCGGTTTTGGGAATATTGAGGAACATTGCGTCTGAAAACATATATATATTATTTTATAGCTTCGGGTATCTCCCCAAGAATACAATGCTTTGAGAGCGATTTGAAGCAATTTTTTTTTATAGATTAATTAATTTAATATGTTTTTAGTCCAAATATATCATCAAACCACATAGTTTGTATCTTTAAAGGCAAACTATTTTATGCGACATGTAATAAAAGTCGCATTTATACGTAATTGTTTGGCCTCTTGTGTTTTTTTTTTTAAATATCGCCGACATAATATTGTAAAATGCTGTTTATAGTGTCAGCATATGATATGTTATATTATACAACTTCTATTCAGCGGATCCCCCGTTTCAGTGGTGCTGTACTGGGGGACCTGGTAAGGGATACGCATTATTTACGTTCTGGAATTGAAAAATCTTGAATCCCAAACACAGTGACAATCGAGTGAAAAAGGAGATTTCGTGCTACAGCGCACTCATCGACTGTAGAAGGAAATCACAACCAACCATGACAGCTGAAACATATTAGTTGTGTTTAATTACGTCACGATTCTATTCACAGTGAGGACAATATGGCAGTGACTGTTCCACGAGACACTAGATGTAGCCACTTAATATACATTTCATTAAACGTTTTGCCGTACTAAAATATACAGAATAATATGCCATTTTATAATGTAAAACATTGTCCTGAAGACGATACCAGTGTTAACCGAGAAAAGCTCACGAGATTTTTGAGCTTGGCTATCCTTTGCCGGTGTGTAGAACGGAGCACAGAGTCTAGTCATTCGGATGGGACAAGAAACCGAAGTCCAGTATACACCTTGGTGTGCACAATAAAGATGCATTGTGTAAGATTTAGATACAGCGTTGGTCGTTCTTGCTATAATAGATCAAGAATAGACAATAAAAAATTAACCTATTGAAAACTTTATTCAAAGTACTTTATTCTGAGCGAAGTGTTCACTGTGTGAAGTTTTAACAAGATCTGGCATTAATTGTTTCTTATTGTAACAATGGTACTTGTTATTCGAGACTTGGTCTCGCTTCTCTATATTTAAATTGTGATTCAAAAATCATTAAATTAATGGCCGAAGCTTTCTACTACTCAATCAGTGGCATCCGATGAACTAGGGAGTTGATTATGGGCTTATCATGTTAATGAATGTTTAAATAGTAGTTTATATAACATTTGAAGCCAAAATAAAGACCTGCAATATAGCCATATTTAGCTCTTACATAATGCATCTTTAAGGAATCCTTGACAATCCAAAGGGTAAGCAAAAACGGCACTGTCCGGACAACAGTTCTCTCGTAATACAATGCATGGCTTATGCCCCTCTTCGTTAGACAATTGTCTCAGGAACCTGGCAAACCCCCTCCTGCAAAAATTCCTGCATGGATCCGCCCCTGGTTGCATTTGTTACTTGATGTTCAACTGAAATATATATCCATTAGTTGTTATACTGATGCGCTTCTGTTATGGAACCGACTTCCAGCAAATATCAAGAATGCTGAAACAGTGCATAGTTTAGAAAGGCTTAAAACTCACATTTCTTCGCCAGACTTTTAATTAAGTCCATTATTTGTTTGCTGTTCACATGTATATAATACGCTCTGCAGATACTTTTATGGAACCGACTTCCAGCAAATTTCAGGAATACTGAAACAGTGCACAGTTTAAAAAGGCCTTTTAAAACACACATTTCTTATTCAGATTTTTAATTAACTATTCTTTTAACTGATTTTTGCGGACTAAATTGTTATTTTTGTGTTCTGTGTTAAAGATATCGGGGCCGTTGCCTTAGAGCAAAATGGAGGATGTCGTTTTCAGAATTATAATGATAATATAATATAATATATTACTGTCGTCTTATAAAAATTGGTTGGGTTACCTCAAATAACTTTGATTATCACTATAAAACAGCCATATAGAACTATAGTCCCTTCAAGAGAATAAGTACCATATATATGATTGTTTATTATTTAGTTGTTGTTTACACTCAGTTACCTATGTGCACGTAAAAGATCCCTTGGCAGTTGGAATTCGATATAAGAGTAGGCCGTAGTGCCGCTGTCCGGGCAAAATTTCCCTCATAGCACACTGTATGGCGTATGCCCGTCTTCATTAGCCCAGGTTAGGAGCAGAACAGTAGGACGTTAAACCCCATTTCATTTCATTTCATTTCAGTTACCTATGTGAACCAAGAAATGGTTCTAGACACTTTGTAACATTACATGACATTACACATTACATTTGATATAGTGCACATTACTGTCATACATTCAATGGCACTTCACAAATATTATCAGGAACGTTAAGGAAATACTTTGTGAGAAAAAAATGTTTTGAGTTTCTTTTTAAAATCCGTTACAGTCTGACATTGTTTTACACTTTCTGGAAGGGTATTCCAGAAACGCGGTCCCAGCACACTGAAAGACTATCTGCAGATGTTTTATATTTAGTCTTGTTTTATATTTAGATAACATGGTTTGTGATGACGATCTTGTATTGTATGATGAAGTTTGGGACTGTGATAATTCAGAAAGATAGGCAGGAGAAGGTTGTGGAGACACTTAAACACCAGTGCAAGTAGCTCGAATTGGCATCGGACTTCAACTGGTAATATTTTAAGTTCTTTCAGAGCAGCATTAGAGCTGTAGTCAAAACTAGAATTAATTTTGCTGTAAAATTTTGAATTCTTTAGAGAGTAACTGCTGGCAGATCATTCCGATGTATTTTACGGTGTAGTAATCTCTGCTGAATGCTTTTACGGTAACGAGTATAGATTACGTAGCCAATACATTTTATAAATGGGATTTATATTTTAAGATCTGCGAGGTAAAAGATTTGTATCGCTATCAACATTTAATAACTGATATCTGAATTATACTTTATTAATTAATAATACAACAAACAAATAAGTTCCCAAAAGATGGTCGTATGTTTAGCCTTTTTATAGAAAAGGCGGAAAATTGTCGCGTGATCAGGCCGACATTACCAAAGACGGAAAACTATCAGATGTTTTGCTCTTCAAGTGCATACTTTATATTAGAAATTATTCAACTTATTCATTAACTTGTGTAATTCCAGGGAAAAAATGTATATATCTCTAGTGAGGATGAATGTTACAGTCCAGTGTTGCACAGCAAACTTATGTGTCTTTATGTTAGAGAAACTAATGTTTTTTTTCTGCTGTTCTATTAAATATTATGACAGTGTATCCTATAAATGCAGGGTTTAAACACCCAATCTCTTAAATTAACGATCAACCAAAATAGACGTTTATAACAAAAGATGGTATTGAGAGATAACCGGGGGATATATAGCACAGCAGACACTTGCGTCCTAGCCCATAGATGCATTCACTTGATCTGCTCCGACTGGGCTGTGCGGGAAATGTTGCCCGGGCATCGGCACTATTGCCTACTCTTATTACGAATTCCAACTGCCAAGGGATCTTTTACGTGCACGCCAATGTATACACAGGGGAAACCACGCCGGAAAACTCCGGTCAATGCAGGGATCGAACACGCGACCTCAAGAATAGCTAGCCAACGTCTTACCCATTTAGCCACCGTGACTAACTTAAATATAATAGTTGTTTATTTCTAGCAATGTATGTGTAGTTTTCAAATATAACACTGGGTAACATTTACTGTTGTTAATTACACTGCGACAAATTAAAACAAAATGATAAATCCAAACAAAAAGATATGGGTTATATATAGAAAGTGAGAGAGCGGTGTGAACTATCTAATGGGATGCAAGAGCAAGGAATTAATGTCCCTGCATCTCATTAAGATGTCACATTGTTACATGTCCGTATACTCACATGTACTTATGTGATTAATTTGTGTAGTTTGTCTTGAACACAGGTTTGTCTTATCGGTGTTGTTTGCGTGTAGTGCGGTCCTCCTGCACTTACTAATATATACAGCGAAATAGTATGACGAAAGTTTAACAGGCATTAAGCAAGAGCTAAATCTGCCTATTGCAGGTCTTTTCTTTATGACTTAAATGTTATATGAATTATCAATTAGACAGTAATTAACCTACCAAGACCATCATCAACTCTCATGCCATCGGATACTCCAAATTTTCAACACGATTTAAATACGAATTGCGGTTAATGACTTAACGTAAACATGGATAATCGAGGCTTTGTTTATTATCGTAACAACGGTAGCAATGGCAATCGAGACTACACTGTTTTTGTTACGGCGATAACTCTGCTCAGAGTGAAGTAATTTAACTGAAATTTTCACCATATTCCCTTTTAATTATCTCTTGTTTAATTATTGTAGCGAGAACCGTCAGCTCTTTATCTAATTTTACATAATGTCCCTTTAATGAATCAGGACAAATTGTTAAGACTTGCAAAGATTCATTCCCCTTTAAATTATCAATAACCAGTGAACTATCGAATTTATTGACATAATCTAATTGGGTTAACAAGTCAAACCAATTTAATAGATAAGTAGCCACTTGAATTACGTGAAAGATGTTCGTTTAACATTTCAAAACTAAAAGCTTTTGAACAGCACAGCCAAGTACTGTTGGTTTTTAAATAAACTTTTTCCGAAGAAAAGTACTCTATCAATTCGAGGTGGCGAGGTGGCGAGGCGGGGGAGGGCGGGGGGGGGGGGGGTGTGTATATCTTTTAAACACAAACTAGATATAAAGTAGCTAAGTCTCTTAACTCAATATCACCCAAAATCTTCGACATTGAAAACACGAATTATTTGTCAATTTAAATCAACATCGATATTGTGATCTTACTGGGAAAAGATGGGCTTCTGACATCCAACATTTATGACAAAATAAACATTTTACCAATTGGTACACGAATCGTGTACCATAATGCGTTTCAGGCCCATTTTTAACAAGGGACTCGAAGAACGAGGCTAAACATATTCCACAAGTCATGTCAAACGGTGACGGCATATTCATATCGGGAGAGTATGCGCCATAGAAACGCACAATGAATACTATGTAGACTAGAATAACCAGGCGCTAGAGATTTTCATTCGATAGAGACTTCTGGCATATTTCGTCGAACGTAACTGATTTGAAATTGCAGTAAAAATGGAAACGATTGAATGTAAATCAGTTTATATACATTCATATTATATAGCGATTTAGCTCCTTTAATAGAGATCGGCACTCCCTGGACTTAATTCGTTGACTAAGATATATAGTGGCTGTTCAGAAATGGAGTGTAAGCGGATATATATTTTATTTACTATGTTTCACTTGACTTGGTGATGTTCTAAGAAATAAATAGCTGTCATTATGCACTCAATATAATTTGCGACTATCCTTAATAGAAGAAATATGCTGAAATAAATTGTAGGAATGAGTAGAAACTTGATCTAGATATAAATGCAGGGATCAGTAGAAACTAAGTGTAAAGCTAAATTTAAGAAACAATAAGTGGTGAATTATTAGGGCTTTTGTTTTATCTTTGATGCTTCCGCGAGGTTAATTGGATAAACGTATTTTAATTTGAAAATATCTGTAACGAATAAAGTATTGATCTAAATAGTATTATTTATAAGTCAGCAAGGAAAATGGCTGCCACCTGAAAACAGCGTCTTTCGACGTTTGCACTTAACATCGCACTTTTCTGCTCCATCCGGGATAATGAAGACGGGCATACACCATGCTGCGTCCTGGGAGGGAAATATAGCCCGGACAGTGTCGCTTCGGTCAACACTAATTTCAATTTCGAGGTGCCTTGACGAAGTACGTAAGTAAAATGTCAAATCGTACCCCCAACCCCTATGTAGATTGGACTAACCAGGCACAACCGACTGTCATTGAATTTGACTGTTCCTGTATTTCGACGAACATATTAAGAACCCAGTAGATAAAGTAGATAAATCTCATTTTAGTTTATTAACCATATAAATTTTCCGCCCCCCAAAATTAAAAAATATCTATGTAATAATTTTTATTACATTTTTACTTTAAATATAAATACATATAAATAATCTGCAGTGTTATCAACAAATGCTACTATTAACATCAAATATTTTTACAAAAATTACTCAATATAACAGCATTTCCCTTCTCTTCAAAACGAGCATTCAGATTATATATGACATTTACAATAAATTTATTACAGCTAGTTTTTGCATCACCCCTTTGCTTGAAGCCATCCCTGATCAATTTGGTCCTCAAAAATAAATGAGGCTTCGCCAAACTGATCAAGGACAATATCACTTGAAATCAAGTTTGAAAGTTTGGAAAAATTAGATCCAGAAGTTCCAGAAGCAATGTTTTTTAGCTGATCATTGGAGGATTGTATCAAAGGGTTTACATTGGAAAACATAATATCATTTTCTTTAGGTAACATTTATAAATAACCGCTAAAACATCAGAAAGGAAATAATATGTAAAATAAAGGAATTTTACAGTAGTTATAGATTTAAGAAAACCAGCAATTTTGGCAGTATTATCTTCCATCAAGACAGTAACTAAACTGGGTTTATTTTTTTTTAAAAAAAATGCTTGAACAGCCCCAATCAAGAGAAAAATCTGTTTAAACCTAGTACCACTATAAAAATCACGATACCTTACATGGGGAAGCTAACGTACCACCGCAGGAGACTCCTCGCCCCAACAGACACCCAAGTTACCTTCTCCAAAGGACGAACCATAAAAGATATCCTAAAAGCTTATGGTAAACCTCCTCCAAACAAAACCCCGCCCCTGTAAATCAAGTTGCCTGCTCCAGTATTAGCATAGATATATTGGTGAAACTAGGCAGCCCTTTTAGAGGGGTAAAATGTCAATTGGACCCAAGTTCAGTCTTCTAAAAAGGTTTAGGGTTAGCAGGGGCGTGCTGGCAGGGAGTTTAGGAGGACGGTGTCCTCCCAGGCCCCCATTAAACAATAAGTCCACTCGTAGAAGCGGGCCTCCCTTAGAGCTCTAATTTTCACGCGGAATACGCTCAGAAAATTGAGAGTATGCACGCGAAAAATCATACATACACAACGATTAGTAAAATTTCTCCCAGAAGTGCTTGCAAAACGCGTTTCCCGTTGTCAAATTTCAAAAATTTTCTGGTGGGTTAGAGTTAGTATTCCCCAAAATACTCATTTATATAAAGCGGCCATTGTGGACTCCGGAAACTTTCCGAACTTTCCCAACTGGCCTAAAATTAGCATCTCTAAACACAATAGGGGAGTATTTATATATCACATACTAGAGGAAGTGGGCGTTTCGTTTACGGGGAAATCATTCTACAAGATCACGAAACGTAATGCGTGTCGCAACTTATCAATCAATATAAACACAAATAAACATATTGTATATTATAAGCTAAGCAGGCGAAGTACAACAAGTGTATTCACATCAGCGAGGCGACTAACCAAGCTAGTGTAATAGAGTAGACTGTTGTTAATATCTAACTACACAGACTACACGAGGGTAAGGACCTTTTTTTTAAATAGATAACCTACATATACGTCATACAATTTCTGATAATCTGTTGATTACGGTTTACACAAGTCTTAGTATTGAGAATCCACGTTGTCGGTATTTATAATTTGATTGTTAATGCTTAATCATTTGTTACCACAAGGGGTGTGGTTTTAGTGCATGGAGAATGGAATTGTGTAGAGCGGATAATTCTGTTATTATTGTTTTATAATTTATATATGTCTATATCGCCACGTATGTAATGTGAGGATGGAAGAATTTTGCTCAGACAGCGGCCTTTACATTTACTCAATGGCCTGTTTTACGTTTGCGGGGGGGGGGGGGTGTCATTGAGTCAAGAGGCGTGGTTTGGATTCCCCGATTGTTCGTGACAAGGAGTATGGTCGCCTGTCCACCCTTGTGGGCTTTCCCCGGATCCTCCAGACACCCACGCGCAAGCAAATTTGTGAAATAAAATTGAACCATGTTAGTCCCTAAATGACCTACTCCCATCCCTTTCTTTTACATACGTTCACGTGTAAATCGAGTGATTTACATATTGAATTACGTTTGTATAACCTCGCGAGTATTAAAAGGGACTCCGGTTTTCCACATTTAAAGACCATGCTGTGCAAATGATACTCGAGACGGCACACGGACTAGTAATTATTTATTACATCCTACTTCTACTCGTTGCCACTGGCAACCTTCGATAAAACAGTCCTGTTTATTTGCATTACATGCATAAAAGTATACGTGTATCAGAAATGTACAGAAAGAGTACTGTTCATTTCAGATACACGGATACTTTAAACCCGTTTGAGATACCTATCAAGCAATAAGTAGCGGACGTTTCAAGTTTTTATTCACATAGCTGTAAGTCATTGACGTTTAGCTTTTAAACACAGTGCAGCAATGGTGACACATCAAATAGAAAAATTCATAACATGAGATTATATAGAAGTAACAGCTCACAGGGTGAGTAATGATTTCCGAAATTTGAAGGCTTCGAAGACATATTTACATAATTTAACTTGAAGATTTCCATTATTTGTAGACATTAATTCATTAAATTTATAAACAGTAGGGTGAAGTGAATAAAATTTAGGGATATATTTTGTTCTTAGGTGATTTAAAGATTTACAACACAGTGTAAAGTGAAATTCATCTTCTACAGACTCATGGCATAATTCACATATTCTATTTTGTGCTAATATTTTAAAATATCGACCTTTCTCAATAAATAGGTCATGTGAAGTACACCTAAGCCTGCAAAGTAGGATGACCCGTGCACTTTACAGAAAGTTGGTCTCGACACGGCTAAATGTGCACGCTTCAGTTGCGTGTCTCGAACTGATTTCTGACTACCCCGCACCCGCTTTGAGTCGATAAATAGCCATGGCACGTGCAATTCTCTACAAATATATCAACTATTACAGCCGTAAAAAATCTATTGTTGACGATTTTGAATAGCAGTAAAATTTAGCTTCTTGGTTATTACAGCAGCTTTAGTAATTACGTTTGTTTTATTTTTTAAATTGCTTTATCATTAACTGTACCGTTAAGAGCGGCATCTTTTAGTTTAGTACAAATACTATCTCTGAATCACTTTCTTTAGCAGGAACATGATACTAGCAGTAGTTTCATTTTACTTTTACAAGTTTCTTAAAACAATTGTTGAGTTGTCTAAAGTGCTTATTTCTAAATTCAATTTCTTGTTCTAACTTTCTGTTATGTTTCGTAAAAAAGTAGTCTTGATTATCCCGACCTGTCAATCAGACGTAGAATGGTCGATAGACTGGTTAAGCGAGACTAATTTCAAAACAAGGGCACGTAACCTATCTTTTACTCAAAAGTGTCTGGATGTTATGGACGCAACTTGGAACCAGTTTTCAGTCTATTATTTATAGATGATTAATGGTCATAGCTTATTAAGGACAACATGATCGTTTATTTAGTGACTATAATTGTGTGAAACTGATTTGAGGCTTGGCATATGTATAAATATTGTGGCGTAATTGTCGAGATATTTGGAGATATTTATTTATGGTGGGTCACCCTACTTTCAAAGGGATATACGATACTTTGATATACAGATCGCAGTAGATAACACACCTCTATCCATTGTACATGAAACAACTAGTCAAAATCATAGTAACAAAACAAAATGGGGGGAACTACATGGCAGTTCAAAAACATATACAATGACATTAAATTAACATAACAACATATTATATAAAACACAAATTTATATGGAAAGCAATCACTGGGTTTATTTCACACTACGTTTCAACAAGTTCCTCTTGTCGTTCTCAAGTAAGTAATGACAGTGTAATGGCAAGAAATCAAATTATATACATTGCCATTACACTGTCATTACTTACTTGAGAACGACAAGAGGAATTTGTTGAAACGTAGTGTGAAATAAACCCAGTGATTGCTTTCCATATAAATTTGTGTTTTATATCATATGTTCAGTTACTAAATGCCGTATAAGGATTTCAACAACATATTACAAAAATCAATTATTATACATATCAATTGGCATCTATTTCATAATTTGGTTCGATTTATATTAATATGCAAAATATATAAATTAGAATATTGAATATTTATTTTAATTAATTGTGATGATAGAAGGCGCAGTTCTCTTGCTGGACACTTCACAGGCATTGAAAATAAGCAGGAGGAAAAAAACGCCTAGAAAGTCATAAACTTTATTACAAATAAATTTCAACGGAAAAACCATCCGCCGATGCATACTTTCAACAGGAATGACCCACGTTTCGCATTTCCTTTACACTACATTTAATAATATCGCAGCCCTCTACGCCATAGAAAGTTGTTTTGACGATGAGGTCTAAAGAAACACGTGATTGTTTTACGATCAGAGTATCATAGCAAGACGCGCGTGTAAATACTACTCAGGTCGTCTCTCCACTGCGAAATCATTCTACCATGAAATGTAACGTGAGGCTCAGAAAGGGATAAATAATGAAAGAGCAGAAAGTATTTGTCACTTTTCGGTTGAAACGACTCGATAATGAATACTATTTTTCACATTTTGCTTCACAATACTCGATAGAAATGTGATGTAAGTGACTTATTAGCAGGAGTAGGGTCGCGTGTTCACAGCTAAAGACCCCTACGCGCAAGCGACTTATTGAAAGAACATTGACTCATTTGTTAGTCCCGAAGTGACCTAGTTTGTGTCGAGTAAACGTTACCCTCTCTCTCTCTCTTTAAACGACATGATTTCCTGGTATGTGGGTGTCAAGTTTATTTGGTGTATATACAAAACCTGTACAGACTTATCTCCACTCATGTTGTAATCTGTGTGATAAACTACTAGAAGGTTTTATTTGTACCGTGCGGTAAGGACGGCCAGCCCTCGATAAACTACTAGAAGGTGTTATTACGCAACAAATACCTTCTCGAAGTATGTAATAAAATCTAATCGGGTGGATTTGATTATATAGTTGGACTAAAAGCATATTCAAACTTATCATATCTATCCAAAGTTTGCTTCAAATCTCTCGCAAAACATTTTGATAACAAGAATCTACCATATTTTATGGCCAACAGGAATTTTTATTTGACAAAAATGTATGATGGAAAATTGAAACACAGGTAACAATTTTATTTCTCAGCTACTGTAAAACAATATAGCCTATATTGTGATATAACTTACAAAATCTTACTTTGCTTTACATTAGTCAATTTTTTCTACTTAGATCCGGTTTATTTTTTGTAAAATAATTGACATCCAATTTGATAAGGGATTGGTTATTTTAATAAAGTTTTTCTTAAAAAATCTTATGACAAACTAGTTAAACATCACAACTATTAGGCTATATACTACAAAATTATATGAGAGCCAACCCTTTTTTTCAGTCAGATGTAAAACTATTGCCGATTCGTGACTTTGGTCTTTTAAAATATTGTATTGAATGAAATATTTAAAATGTGTACCGTATGACAGAATCATTGATAGAAATTCTAAGTTTATTGAGCTTTACATAAGACTCGTTGTTCACATTTTGAAGGCGGTAGCATAATGAAAGAAATGCCGACCGTCTCCGTTATCTCTTTCGAGAATCCTCGCTAATCGCTATATTATACGACTCGTTAGTTAAGATTACGTTTCTGCCATGGTGACAGTATAATTTGAAATAATATAATGTCAAATAAGGCATGCTTGTATATGTTGCATTCCATGTGAAGCCACATTAGGCTCTAATGAAATTCAACTATCAAAAAAAACCATTTAATTCTCGTCGGCCATCTTGATTATGCCAATGGCTATCCCTCATTTTTAAGACAGAACCACCAATTGGATTGATTATTTTGAGTAAGTATTGACTACAGATTAAATTTCCAGCAACAGAAAGGGGGATACCGAAATAATAAGCTGCGTATCTAGTATTTGGATTCCCTGGAGAGCAAATCCCGCTAATGACCTATTTTTAGACAGACGCCATTTTGCTACATTCACTTCAGTTGATTCAGCGTGCCGTTCAGGCAAAGAACACGTCGCTTGAAGTGTTCCTAGAAGTGGGTTAGGAATGAACATTTCGGTGGAGTTTTTTAGCCACTTCAAGGGAAGCGTTCCTAGAAGTGTGTCAGAAATAAACACTTCATAGGAAGTGAACACTTCATTTCGGTACGGGTATAAGCTGTAAAATTCTACTTAGTCATGTGCGCGCCCCATTGGTGTTTTGCTCTTATTGGAAATACATGTTGGCTCGCTAACCTGGAGGTCCCGTGATCGACCCCTGCGTTGACCGAGAAAGTTCATCGGTATTTTCCGGCCTTGTCCCCCTTTGTCAGTGGTGCAGGACAGAGGGCCTGGCAAGGGACAACGTATATAAAGTCGTTCGGATGGGACCGAGGTCCCGTGTACACACGGATGTGGGGGAATAAGAACCCTTGACATTTGGAATTCGATATAAGAGTAGGCCGTAGTTTGTCTTGTGTGCGCCCCACGAGTGTGTGTCAGGGAATCCAGTATTTTCTAGTGCGATTGTGTGTTTCTACTTTCCATATTAAGGACGTTGAGCGCCAATATCATTAAGAATTCGCATACTTGTTCCAGTTGTAAATATAATAATGAAGATACGAGCGGAAAGAAAAAAAAAACTATTATACGTATCACAATTAAGTCAAGTTACAAGGAGGAATTCCCTCTGCGACGCGATTATCCATGACTACCATCTATCACGACTGGCACATCACTGAATATACTTTCTACCTCCGAATTGCTCTGTTTTAAAACTTGTTTTGGAGGTATTCAAAGCATTTACCCCCAAATCACAAAATCTTGTTTGAAGATAAATAATAAACAAAGATTTTGAAACACTATAATCTTATAGAATTTCCAAGGAAACTCATCATGCTTTTGCCCTTTCATGGATACCAGACAAACCACAGCTGTCCATAACCAAAAAGTGAACCGTAGTTTTCTTGGATTTCCATTTAGCATGGTCAATGCCAAATTTGAAGAAAATCTATGCATCCTTATTTATCTAACTGGTGGTTTATTTTCCAGCATGAAGCTGTCCGAGTATTTACCTAGACTAGGAAAAGAAACTCTTCAGGAGTTTGTTGAACGTTATCTGGGTGTGACTTATAAAGGTCGTATGAACCGGACTATTGATCATCTCCAACGTCACTTAGAGAACCTGCCAGGTTATTCCATAGCCGGTACTTTCAGGGTAAGTTATTTTATAACCTGGTTTATATAGATGATATTTTCAGGGTAAATAGTTTTATAGAGATAGTTAAATGATAGACCATATTGTCAAGGTAAGTTATTTGATAGACCATATTTCCAGGGTTAGTTATTTGATAGACCATAGAGCAGAACAGTGGGACGTTAAACCACATTTCATTTCATTTTAATAGACCATATTTTCCGGGTAAGTTATATTGTTGTGGTAAGTTATTCCATAGACCATATATTCGGGGTAAATTATTCCATAGACCATATTTTGGTGTAAGGTATTGTCAGGGTCAGTTATTCATTCTTTTCAGAGTAACTTATTTCATAGATAAAATCGTCAGGTTACGTTATTCCATAGCCTATATTGTCCAGTAAGTTATTCCATAGCCCATATTGTCAGGGTAAGATATTCAATAGCCCATATTGTCAGGGTAAATTATTCCATAGACTGTATTTTCAGTTTAAGTTACTCCATAGACCACACATTGTCAAGGTCAGTTATTCCATATTTTCGGATCAAGTTATTCCATAGACCATGTTGTCGGAGTAAGTTATTCCACCGAGGATATTGTCAGGGTAAGTTATTCCATAGACCATATTGTCAGGGTAAGTTATTCCATCGACTATATTGTCAGGGTAAGTTATTCAATGGACTATATTGTATATTGATAGGGTGAGTTATTCCATAGACCATAGTATTATTGTAAGGGTCGCTTTTCTCAAGCCCATAAATTATTGTTAGGGTGAGTTATTCCATAGACCACATTGTTCTTATACGTTATTCCATAGCCCGTATTATCAGGGTAAATCATTTTATTATAGACTATATTTTCATGTGTAAGTAGTTACATAGTTGTCACAAACTACGTCACACAAACTAAGTCAGTTCGAGACTAAGACATAGCACAATTCGGTTATTTGAAGATATAAATACTTGAAGATATAAATACTTGAAGATATCATTACTTGAAGATATACATACTTGAAGATATAAATACTTGAAGATAGTATTACTTGAAGATATAAATACTTGAAGATATAAATACTTGAAGATGTACACTGGTAAGCTGAAATCCATTGACGTATGAACGCAGGCCATTAATTTAGTAATGACAATTTTTGTCAATAAATCAAATCATATAAGTGCGCATTATTCTGAACTAATGGCTAGTATGTATTGAAAGTGGTTAGAAATTATACAGTTGTCATTACAGATACATTATGTAAGATTTAGATAAAGAGCTGACCCTTCTTGCTATTAACTGTCCGAAGACCCCAAATCAAAGTGAAGGGCTGTCATGTTACGTATTGTGTTTCAACAAACTGGATAGAAATAATCTTTAATTGACATTTAGCGACCGGGAAACACATTAACATAACACAGTTTTTATGCTTGATAACAATAAAAAGATACTTGTCGAAACGTCGTGCTTTCAGAATAAAAACTAATGATTGTATCCCATAAAAACTGTGTTTTGTTAATGGATAGAAATAAATAATTCATGGATTTTCTTCACAAAAATGGATAAATATTATCTAAGGATGTGGTATCGATGTTTGCTCCCGATGCATCCCAGAGTAAAATTTTTCTTGAAATCAGCACTAACAAACACTGAGATATTTTTTTTTAAAGAGGTCACCCCATTAAGCGGCAGTCATGAAAACTCCCTTTGTTTTACTGTACTCAGGAGAGATTTGATTGGAGGATGAGAATGGTACACTCCGTCAAAAACTCAAGTTTTCAGGCTGGCTAGAGAGGGATTTATCCGGCCATTGCTTCTGAAATATGGGACAATTGTAGTTTATATCATTCAATAGTCACGGTTTTATCGCCTTCGTGACAAAGCACCTACTCAATGCCAACTGCCGTAGGGGGGGGGGATGTCCGAATGGTTAGCGTGTCCGCGCTGTATCATTAGATCTGTCATTGAGTCAACTGGCGTGGTTTCGAATCCCCGGTTGTACGTAACGGGTGGGTTTTCTCCGGGTCCTCCGGTTTCTCCCCGCTGCTAAAGACCCCTACGCGCGGTCGAATTATTGAAATAAAATTGAACCATATTATGTTAATCGAATTATTGAAATAAATTTGAACCATATTATGTTAATCGCAAAATGACCTGGTTTGTGTCAAGTCGACGTTAAACCCATCTATCTCCCCCCCCTCTCTCTCTCTCTCTCTCTCTCTCTCTCACTCCAACTGCCGTAAAACTAACAATTTAAATTACTTGTTTCAGGGTGGATCTATGGCGAAATGTACCGCTGTAAAAGCAACATCAGATATTGATCTTCTGGTATTCTTCGATGGATACCGTAACATGCAAGAATTCATTCAAGATAAAGAAAAAGAGGACGGAATATTACAAGCCATTGAAGGCCATCTCACGACGGATCCTGTATATTCCAAAAACTGGAAATGCACAAGGATTACTGATTATCACGTGACCTTGGAGATGGTTGAATACCCAATACACGTAGACATTTTACCGGCTATACAATTTCCGTTGGAAAAGCTTAATGCAAGTAAGATTTCTGGTTTTATAAACAAAGCAAAATCGGATGCAACTCAATATTGTAACTCAAGAAAACGTAATAATGACAATCTGTAAGGGTGGAGTGGGTCATAAATGATAGTAGGGATTATTTCCATTACGCCGGAGCTAGACAAAAATATTTTGTTTGACAGATTTAAACATGTTTTCGTTTATTATTTAGCCCACTTGATTTTTTTTTCGGTGGGGGATCGCACCCGACCGTCCAGATTTGTTTGTGGACACTCTAGGGATCATTCAATTCTTATCCAATTTTGATGAAACTTAAAATGTATGTTTATAACCCAAAGACCTCGGTTCCTTTCGATATTAGCGCATATCGGACCGTAATGGTCCCTGATTGTACGACAAATCACGTTTTTGCTTATGGACCCTCTAGAGTTCACAATTTTTATTCGATTTTCAAAACAGTTCCAATATATCACCGCTACACCATAATGACGGTTGAGTTCGAATTTCGTGAAAATCGGACCGACGCTGGCCGACAAAATGGCCGCTCCCCGTACGCTAATAGTGTAAAAGTATGTAATACTAAAGTTGTGGATCCTCTAGAGGTCACAGTTTCCATCCGATTTTGACGAAATTGAAATACATGTATATGTTTATATCCCAAAGATCTCAGTTCCTGTTGATATTGGCATGTATCAGATAGTAACTTCGCGGATTATGGGTCCTGATTGTACATAAAATCGTGTCATTAGCTTGTGGTCCTTTAGATTTTGATGTAACATCCTTAATTATGGCCGCTTATTGTACCCTTTTGTAGCTTGTTCTTTGCCATCTCTTGCAAAATTTGGGCGTATCTTGCATAGCAACCACTTGTTTTTATATGTTGTGTTCTAATCTTACAGATTGGGTAACACTATAGCCACTATTGACGGAGTTGATCAGACTCTCGCTGCTGGGTATACATATTGTATTCTATTTTAGTTTATAATCAAATAAAGAGAGAGGCGAGGTCCGTTAGAGAACACTACTCGGTATGTCTTGCCCAGATACAATGTAATTTCATGAGAAACCAACCAAGACAAGTGCATCATTTAGTTAAACTTCTGAAGTACTGGAAATCGGTAATTACACTGAAATAATGATAGAAAATCTGATTAAAACCAGATATTCATTGCACGTTTTGTATTGTTTATACTATACACCATAATTATCTTAAATATTTTCTTTGCAAACGGTGTTCAGCTCAACAATCAGGTTGTCCGTCTTGGTATAACGAAGAATCAGGTTGTCCGTCTTGGTATACGGAACTTCGTTGTATGGTGAATTATGTCTAGTTGACATACAGCGAGAGAGAGAGAGAGAGGTGTTTAACGTCCACTCGACACAAACTATGTCATTTTGGGACCAATATGGTTCAGTTTTTTATTTTAATAATTCCCTTGCGCGTAGGCGTATTTAGCAGTGGGACGAAACCGGAGAACCTGGAGAAAACCCACGAATTTGGACAGGCGACCCTACAACCGGGGAATCGAAACCACGGCAGTTGACCGAATGACAGACCGTATTATACAACGCGCAGGCCCTAACCAGTCGGCCATCCAACCTCCCCGACATACATAGAACTTTCACTGACGGTTAAGATGGAAAGTAGGTGTATAGTATAAAAGCAGAAAAAAAAACCTAAACGAACAAACACAAGGGACGATATCATTATTTTAAAGGACAATATTGTTGCCAGTCATTATCACATATGTGATAGAACTGGTTAAACACGTTCCAAATATTATTTTATCACAGAAATCATTGCTACTATAGGTGAATAATCAATGTTTCAACAATAGGAAGTGACGAACGCAAAGGGAAAACACGAGTTATCCCTTTATATATCTGAATGAAGTGACGGGTGATAACAGATACATGGGCAAATTTCTGCTCACTAATAATTCCTTCGAAGACCAAAAGTTGTTGTATGGGACTGTGAAAGGATATCTGACAATTCATAAACAAAATTGACTCTCACTAGATAAGAGAACATGAAAGAAAAATAGAAAAAGTCCCAGGTTCAACATATATCGTATTAGATATATAGTTGTTCGCCTTTTGTTATCTAACCGGAAAGCAGTTTAATTCAAGTTGACATAAAAATCACGTCAGTTCTCCCTTTTAAATATTTTCCAGGAAAATGAGATCGAACTGAAGTCATATTTTTGTGAATTATTAGCGGTTCACATCTTTAAAACAAAGTTTGGTAAAAATCCTCGGTTTGATTTGAAAGAAGGATTCATCCTGGCTCTGACTCAGCTTCAAAATTACAATTCATTGGAAATTACGTTTGATGATTATTATCGACCAGATACTTGGTACGTATTTTTGACATACCAAACGTTACTAACGTCCACACATGTATGGTATTTCATTTTGCGTCAGCAGTTTACCCGCCGTAACCGGAAGTGACAGTGAAATGCCTGCAAGCCTATGCCAGTCCCCGGCTCCATCTCCACTTATGGCTCTTATTTCAGTCGCAAGGCAATCCTTAACGTTTCTTTAGCAGTGGGGCAAACTCGAGGACCGGTAGAAATCCCACGGGTTTAGACTCGCAACCCTACTCCTTCTCACGCACAAGTGTGGGATCAAAACCACATCACAGGACTAAATGACAGATCATATCACCTAAAGCATAAGCGACAAGACAATTAGGAAACCGAGTCAAACCGTGATACTGTATTTTGAGTTCATTTTTCATTGTATTTTTTATTTTTATTTTTAGGAAGGATCAGCGCCCTTGCAAACCATACGTCATGGACCCTGCAAACCCCTTTATGAATACTTGCAACCAAGACCTCGATAGCAGTGCTATGAACAAAATGGTGACTTGTGCTACATATACCATATCAGCAGCTATCTCATATCGGGGTTGTTAATAAACATATCCCTTTAAAACCGATAGTATACATTTTTCTCGGATAAATATTGTCTCATTTGTGATTGGGTAATAAAGTGGCCATTTTGTCGAATCTTGTGTTGCGGCAATTATATATTCTTACGCGGTTGCCACATCTGATCCACGATATCTTGTACGAAACTATCACCCGGTTCACACTCATTTTTTATATATTTGTGTTCCCATGTGATCTATTACACTTCCAAATTAGGCAACAACATGGCGACCATGTCCGCTGTTGGACAGTTGATCGCTATTCATATACGGCTCCTGGGACAAGCTACGTTTTACTAGGATTGTGAAAACTGCAGTTTTATAGAACGGGTGGCCGAATGGTGTAACACGTTTGCCTTAGCATTGAGTGAAGTGTCGTGGTTTCGATTGCCCGTTTGTCTAATCTCGTGAGTTTCCTCAGGGTCTTGTATTCCGCCCTCACCACTATGCACAAGCGAATTATTGAAATAAATTTGTTTTAAGATTGAGACTCTACATGCTACCTATATATAACACAAAGACGTGAAAGAGTTAGTAAATTTACCCCCTTTTTGGATGACCTTTAGCGTGAATAAACTTGAATACCATGCTATTTAAGCTCATTACGTCAGCTTTGTACCCATGGCAATATGATCCTTTTAAGTTAAGTATACTATTAAATGCATACCTCATTGTAATTTTATATCAACGGTCGTGATTCATATTAATATATATTATGTTAAATGGCTGTATTATGAATGTTAAAAATATAGAGATTATTTTTTTATCTTACGGTTTGCTCAAAAGCATTTTCTATATATTAAAGAAAATAGTTCGGGTACGTATCTGCTATAGACAATAGACTGCGAAGACTAAAGACCCAACTTACAAATGACGAAAAGACACCAATTCAATATTTGGATGCATAGGACACTTGTTAAAATTGGGATGAACTACTGTATTATTTATGGGGTACTAGTGCTACATGTATATTAATATCATACAAATTGATACAATAGACAATAAATAGAACCAGTGTTTTGTAAATATTATTATATTTGGACTACTCTTTTGACTGCCAGTGCTTTGGAAATATTATATCTTGTTTTGTTACATATTTTATACAATTTCTATATAAATTATTTTTTCTTTCTCTTTTCTGTTTGTTTTGATATAATCTGTTATACGCTGTAGCCTGAATGGGATATGGAAGAATCTATTTTAGCTATAGAGAGGGTATATAAGTAGGGATAATAAAATCACCAGACCGTATAATCTGTTGTTATAAATGGGACGTAGTCAAAATGGGAGGATACCGAATATACCCCAAAGATCAAAGAGATTTAACGTTACAGGTTTATAATGAGCTATAATACATTTATTTAAAGATGCATTATATGAGATTAGATAAAGAGTTCATTGTTCTATCTATAATAGTTAAAAAAAACAGATAACGTAAAAAAAATATGTTGAGAATTTTAATCCAATTGCTCCACTCTGAACCGAGATATTAGATTTTGAATTTTAAGCCTAGCCTCGACCGTCATTACTGAAGTCGGTACGATAAAGAACATAGTGTCGATTATCCATTTTTGGATTTAATCATCAATGAGGGTTGAGCAGCAGATCGGATTCAAATCCAGTGCAAATCCGACACATAAGATGACATAAGGACTCGATTATGCTTTGGATAAGTTAATTAATGCCTAATTGATAGTGTATAAAATATTTCAGGCCTGAAGAAAGATCTCGGATAAGCAGATTTAGCTCTTGTATTTTAACCTGACAAACTGCACTGTCTTTCTTTTCTGACATTTTCCAATAATTGATAAAATTCATCATAGCTACGTCATTGACGCCAACACGACTGTTGCGCGAAGATATAAAGGGCAAACTATTTTATGCGACGTTTAGAAATTGTTTAGCCTCGTATTGTTGTAGGGTTTTTTTTTTTTTTTTTTTTTTTTTTTTACATATTGTCATTATGCTGTTTTGCTGTCCATAGTGTCGGCATGTAATAATGTATGGTGTAATATAGTGAGGTTCATTATATAGAGAATCTCCTACCAGTTGTTTTTTTTATATCAAAAAAGACGAGTAGGAGATTTTATTTATCACCCAATTCCTTCTTACATGCACAAATAGATAAATATAATTCTTTGCTGTAGATTTCCCTTTTACTGAACATTACCCAGTGTTTCCATCAAGGTCAATTGAATAACAATAGTTCATTTTTAATTAAAAAAAAGTTACTTTTAATAAGAAATGAACTGTTCTTTGAAAATAAAAAAAGTAGTTCCTTTTCAACTGACCAATCAAATTCATGTAAAGCGATATCTCCTAAGGAGATATCGCAGTAGATTATGATATATATATCACACAAGCGATATCTACTGTAGAATGTATTATTGGGTGATAAGCTATATTATACATGGACTATAACTGTAACTTCTATGTTCAGTCCAGATGTTGAATACATCCAATGTCATCCGTCATCACATGTATCTGGTATTACCCGGTACATGTAATATAGCCTGCGTCTGATCAATGTTTTGTATTTCAATATTTCACACTCTGTCGTAGCGGAGTTTTGACTTTAGTGTGGGTGATCAGGTGTCTTTGTTTACAGTGTTTGTGTTGGTAAATTGGGATTGACCCATTTTAATCAATATTAATGTTATTATCTTACCGTGAATATAGGGGCTTCTTATATCAAATATGTAAGACATAACGAAATTTGAAAATCAGTTATCGGCGTTGGGTTCTCTATGACCTCGTGTGCCATTTGTAATGAGACGGCTTGATGAATTACAAACCAAACCATATCCCGCAAGTCAATGTAGATTTAATTAAAAACGGCTGATCTACAAACAAACCAGGTTCAAAACAATATAGGTTTATCTCCTTTAAGTAGTCAATTTCCAAAAACGAAAACAGTCCAGAGGCCTGTTTCACGAAATTTTGACTAAGACAAAATCCAAATTTTAGTCAATTTCCAAAAATGAAAACAGCCCATAGGCCTGTTTCACGAAATTTTAACTAAGATAAAATCCAAATTTTAGTCATTTGATTGGATAATATTAGATTGATTTTAGTGCTTAGCCAATCAAAATTGGAGTATCTATTAAAATTTGGATTCTATCTTTGGTTTCGATTTCGAGAAACAGGGTTCTGGTGATTATGGTTCCAAATGAAATGATGGTTTAATGTCCTGTTGTGCTGCATCGAGTAGGGTAATGATGCCGGGTAAAGAATAGAAGTTTATCTCCTTTCCAAAAATGAAAACAGTCCATGTCAAAAATGAAATGAGGTTTAATATCCTACTTTGCTGCACCGAATGGGCTAATGTCGACGGGTATAAGATCAGATGTATTTGTTGTCCACTGCAGTATTATGGTTTTCAAAAAAAGACAATTGATCATTAAGATGTTACGAAATGTCTGGTTAACTATTGTTTACTTATAGTTGCTCTGTGAGTAAGACGTTAATTACGTTGGATCGCTAACCTGCAGGTCCCGTGTTTGATCACTGCGCTGGACGATAAAGTTCAACGGGATTTCCCGGAGTGATTTCCCCTTGTCAGAGTAGCTGGCCAGACGGTCTGGCAAAAGAAAGGAAATAAAATGGGGTTGAAAGTCCTACTTTTTTGCTCCGAACTGGGCTAATGAAGACGGGCATACGCCATACAGTGTGCTATGAGAGAAATTTTGCCCGGACAGTTGCACTACGGCCTACTCTTATATCGAATTCCAACTGTCAAGGGATCTTTTACGTGCACGCCAATGTGTACACGGGACCTCGGTTTTTCGTCTCATCCGAATGACTAGACAGCTGTCCTTGTCAGGCCCTGCGTCCTGCATCACTGACAAGGGGGAACCACGCCGGAAAATCTGAGTGAACTTTCTCGGCCAATGCAGGGATCGAACATCCGACCTCCAGGCTAGCGAGCCAGCGTCTTACCCACTTAGCCACCGTGACCCCCGCCTGACAAAGGAGGGCCTATCGTCGTTCAGATGGGGCGAAAACCCGAGGTCCCGGGTACACAGTGCCGTACACGTAAAACATCACTTGGCTGTTTGAGTAGACCCTATCGTCGCTGTCCGGGAATAATGTCCTCCATAGCACACTGTATGGCGTAAACCCATCTTCATTAACCTAATCGGAGAAGAACAGTAGGACGTTAAATCCAGTTTTATTTCATTTCATTTAATTTCTGTTTACATAAAACGCGAGTGTGTGTATGTTACATACAAGCAGGTATAATATTTTTCAAATCTTTTAGCAGGTGCAGAATACTTGAAGGTGGTCTTGAAATCCCCAGGTTCAACAGCAGTTACGCCCCTTGTACTATCACGTACTATTAACACTATGGGATGTCCGTTGTCACCTGGAACATTCCGAAATGGCAGAATTGCAAACGTGTGACGCGGAATTCAGTCCTGTCACAGTTCTGTCAGTTCCGACACCGGGGGTGGAGCGAGTAGAAACGTGACGTAATTAAACATACTGAATGTTTCAGCTGTCATGGTTGGTTGAGATATTTGATCGTGCAGTCGGGCACATGCGTTCTAGCCCCAAATCCCCATTTTAACTTGATTGTCACTATTTTGAGGTTTAATAGAATTCATTTCCGGAACGTTCAATCGAGCATCGCTTCACCTAGTAGAACGACATTCGGTTGGTAAATGACCGCCACTTACTTTCCATTCCATGGGTTTCCCATCGATATGTTCTTCCGTCCAAAGTTCCCGGGTCAAACGTAATGTTTTACATAATACCAACAACTTTTACTTGTCCATGTTTTTTTCATATTTGAAAAAAGAAAATTATTGGTAGTTTGTAGGGGGGGGGGGGTATGGACGCGACAAAAGACGAAGTAGCCAGATGATATATATTTCGTTGAACTGAAAATAAGCCCTTGGGAATTTTCAACGTGATTTTCGTCTGTCAGCGGTGTAGAACGGAGGTTTGGCAAAGCACAGCGTCTAGTCATTCGGATTGGACGAAAAACCGAGATACCGTGTACACGTTTACGAACCCTTGACAACTTGAAGGATAAGCAAGAAACGCTGCTGCCTGGACAATATTGCTCTCATAGTGCACTGTATGGCGTATGTCCGTCTTCAGTTGACCCGTATGACGTTAAACTCTATTTCATTAGTCTTGGAGTAGACCACTAGGGGAGATAAAACGCCCTTCAAAAGAGAAAAACATAATTTAAGATTCTAAAGAAACCCTTTTTTCACCTTTCTGCTTAGAAGAAGCATGTTCAATAATAATAATAGGCATATATTAAAAATATATAATTTTTCTTGAATAAACACGGACGATTATTCCAGCAGAGATACAACTGACTTGAATGTGTTTTATATGTTGATATAATCTGATATTGAACGGGTGTTGAGACCCAGACGAGATGGAATGTTCAACTTCCTGTAATACGTACAGGTGTAACCAGGGGTGTGTAATGGTGGATACAATGTTGACTGATGCAATACAGTTATTTGATCAATGTTTCATATGTTACTTGATGTACAACGGAAATGTATATCCATTAGTTGTTATACTGATGTGCTTCTGTTAAAGAACCGACTTCCGTCAAATATCTGGAATGCTGAAACAGGGCATAGTTTATAAAGGCCTAAAATTAACTTTTCTTCGTCAGATTTTTAATTAAGTCCATAATTAATTTGCTGGTTACATGTATATAGTATGCTCAGTTACCTTTATAGAATCAGGTAATATCAGGAAATCCTGTATTATTCTTTAGCTTTTGTGATCTTATATTTCACCTTTCGTGCTACATTTACCTTTATATTTCACCTTTCGTGCTACATTTACTTTTTACAGTATTTTATATTTTTAAAATTTTTAATATGCCAGTGTATAGCGCTTCTGAAACGTATGTGTAGATCGGTTTATAAAAAGTTATATAACTTTATACAAGTTATTATTATGAATGTTATTATTATTAATGCTAAAACAATGCACAATTTAAAAAGGTCTTTTAAAACACACATTTCGTCGTCAGATTTTTAATTAACTATTCTTTTAACTGATTTCTGTGGACTAAATTGTTATTTTTGTGTTTTGTGTTAAAGATCTCGAGGGTGTAAATATCTGGGGATCCTTCTACCTTAAATCCTAGAGCGTC